AAATCTTTTGTTCGGAAAAGATACAATCATGGTCTTGTAAACAAATATTAATAATTTAATACGCTCGCGCAATGTTTTCAAATTAGTACGAAATATAAATATTGTAAGAGTTGCAAGTGAGAATTCACAGATTTATAAATTTATGCAAACTACTTACCTTTTCATTTATTCATCGCCCTGTAAACACAGCAGACTATTTACACCTCAAAGTAAGTGGATACAAGTATTTTAAAATTGCAGATTGGCTGGCAATATGAATGTCTTTAAATAAACTTTTGTCTGACTTCACTCATGCATATTCAAAAGTTCACAAAAATAACTGCCCACAAAATATATAACAACAATATTTCCGTAAAGAATTTGTCGAAAAAAGTGAATTAAAAAAGCTCCAGAATTTAAATGTTTCAAAAAAACATCTTTTTAAATGGACGTTAGCCTAATCCAATTTTAAAATGTTGCCCAGACCATACATATTATAAAACGAGACATTGTCGGAAGCTTAGCGTTTAAATTAGTTTATCCCCCTAAAGCGGCACCGCAACGAAGGGTTGCAAAATTTAAATTACAAATAAAACCACTGAAAAATATCTACGAGTGGGTAGTGCCTCAATAACGATGTCTTTTAATTAAAACGGAAGGGGTAATAAAGCGAGTTAATTCGGAAACTCGTCAGGAATTATCGTGAAAGACACCCAAGAGTTTTGTGAATTTTGCAGGAAGGCTGCACGCCTTAGTGAGCAAATTACGATACCGTCAATATTTAGGGAACTGCTCAAATAGGTAAGTAAAATGTGAATTAAACGGATAAATATCCGCGAAATTATATTTTCCTACTTGCTCAGTTACCAAACAAATTATAGCACAGGAAAAGATATCTCTTGACAAGCGAAAAAGCTCCAAAATGGATTGGAATCTTTAGAAGTAACATCCCGGACCAATGACACCGATTTAGTACGCTCCCATCCGTCACGGTCGAGAGCGCAACTCGCTCGAGTGTGACAGATGTAGCATATTGAAACATGCCGCCCGACTGACCGTCTGTCCGTCACGTAGCAACTGCCCCTGGCATCTTCCCTTTAAAGCACCTATATTTGACTTGCGTGCCTCACTGAATACTGGCAAATATGAAATTGAAACTACGCATCAATATCTGCATACCAGGAATTTGTAACGGAAATGGAGCTAAATAAAATTCACTTGTATGATTTGGAACATTATGTACAGTCCACATGATTTCATTCTTAAACAGATAACAATCCTAGAGTCAAACTCTAATCTATTATAAATAAGTTAGTACCCGACACCAACCCCAAGTCTTCGTTGATGACTCAATTAATCTGACTTTTAAAATAACACTTCAATATTTAATGAGTATCTCTAGAAAGCATTAATTTATGCAAACAACTCAATAGTCTTTATATTTTTCACTGTCGTCTATAGTTGTAAACTAATCTGTTGACTTTACTAGCCTCCATACCTCGGGCTTCGGAAGATTCCGCTGGGACGTTGTAGTAGGTGTCATCTCGTGTGTCATAACTGGCGTACCTATGATCGCTAGGTTTGAATTCTAATTGAAGGTAATCACCTTCCTCCTTTCTCAGATTTCCCTTATTTGTGCCATCGTACCTTGGATCTTCGTAAATAGTTATCGTCTGTTTTCTATGAGCCACTATTGGGGCGTTCTTCGGAATATCTCTTGGAATTTCGGCGACTACCGCAGGCCGTGATTCTCCGTAACCATAGCCATAACCGTGATGAGGTCCAAGGCCATATCCACCATCGTGACGGAAACCACGGTCATCGTAATAGCCAGGACCGCCGTAGTCTCTCTCCCATCCTATACCTCTATCCCACCCTGATGGTTCCCAACCTTTTCTACTATCATCCCATCTCTGCCAATCCCAACCCGGAGCAGGATGATGATGATGAATAGGCGGAGCTGGGGGTGGTAGCGGCGGTGGTGGAGCTCTAAATTCATGACGATCATGTGCTCTATTTCTATCATACCTGTTACGATCATCATGGAATTTATTATAGTTGTAACGATCGTCCGCATAATAATTCTTCCCATGATCTTGATGGCCAGAGTGTCTGTTTCCATTCTCACCGTTCCGAGTATACCCTCCACCTTGGTAGTTATCTCGTACATACTCTTGTCCGTTATTATGAGATCCGTGGTACGATCTTCCTCCTTGATTGTCATGGTTATTCAATCTGCTATTGTACTGCGCTTGGTCACCTTCATCATTGAAGTCATCGAAGAAAGTACTTTTATTAGAGGATTCGTCTTTGTGATAAGAGTTCTGAAAACCTTGCTTATGGTGCCCTTTTTTGTGTCCTCTTTTAAAACCACTGGCTTCAGAGTTTTCAGCTTTGTCTTTTTTTGAGTTATATCCTTCATAAGAGTCTCCTTCCGCAGATGACTTCGTATCATGATCCTTACTTAAATATTTGCCTTCATCGTTTGCTTTGGAATAATGATTTTTGTTGCTATCGCTTGTAACACTTTCAATCTGATGAACTTTTTCACCCTTAGTCTTGTCATGTTTAATAGATTCCGCTCCTTCATTGTGAGCTGCATCTTTCAGATGTTCTTCTAACGCTTCCTTGTAAACAGGAGCAGGCGCACTTAACGCCGACGCACGGGCTCCAGGCGTCAACAAAACCACACAAATCGTTAGACTAAAGTAAAATTTGAGTCGTGGAATCATCTCATCACAATTTGGTCACAACGGCACTTAGGTCTTGCTGCTGCAGCGTCCTCACGGGTAATAAGTGGGAGGCGTATTGCATAAACAGTTTTATATTGTTAAAAATCGATTGGACTTCATGGTGATTTAGGGTACAATGACAGGAACCGCGGCGGTGGTGGGAACAATGAGTGGATACCGGCGACATCGTAGCGGGCAGTCCATGACATGACATTATTGATTTGGAAGCACTCGAACGTGCTGTAGGACAAGCTGATCGAGGTCAATAAAACTATCGGGGGCGTTGACTATGAGCCTATTGTCTGCATCAAGGAAATTTCAACGTTTTGGTTAGACACCAGTGAACTGAGTTAGTAGTTTAAAATAAAACATACATACATACGCGTTTGGAGAACTATGTGACTATAATGTGTAAGTTATAAGTTATTCTTTAGGTGTGCATGTTCCATCGTCGACCTCATCGTCATTCCATCAGGTGAGATGGAGGTCAAATACGCACTTGTTTGTTAATAAAGAAAAGACTAGATGCCGACTTCTTTTATCTCGGCAGTTGACGCTTGGCAAACCTGAAATTTTCAACATTCAAACTCAAAATATACTTATTTTCTTTAATAACATTACAATAAGTTCTGTCTCGTCGACTCATAGAGGACTAAAACCCTACAAAACTAATAAACAGTGGAGTGTATGAAGCATGAAATACCGTTCTAAATTTGGAGTACCAAAGTAGACCACTTCCTGATCACTTTGAAACAAAGGTCATGACATTGCAATTGTTGATTTACTGGACAACGTAGCAATTGTCCTGGTTTGTTTCCTATGATTGTCTCTATTTGTTTGTTTGAACTTTATATCAAGGTCTTACGTACTCGGTTGTTCCAAAACAAAATACTTATACAAGGTTATTTCTAATTTACTCAAACTTAGTTACAAAAACATTTCAATTATATAAAACAAACAAAATAAGTACCAAAAAAATCAAACAAAAAATTTTCAACCTCGCCTCCAAAGGTAAGTGAAAGAAAAAATCAAAAACAAATGAAGTGTATGTTATGATTATGAATACAAAGATAGAACACAGAAAAACCTCGTAGACCTGGTGGGACTTGAACCCACGTCCATGCTGCACCGTATGTCCATGCTGCACCGTAGCATTGCTCTTTCTTCAGTACAAAGATCTACAAAAACACATAGGAAAATTTCGAGCTCGGTAACTGGATCTGTAGCTCTGTTGGTTATATATTTATTTAATGTTTTTTTTAAACTGAGACAGTAGTATGGAAAAACCCGAAACCATGGGAGACACGGGGAAACTGTCATACAAACGATAGGGTCTTGTTTTATAAAAACAATATTTGGAAATCAATCAATCAAATCAAGCGTGAGTTGTTCATAAAAACAAAACATATTTTAAATTTTTTGAATGCTGATCGACTCGGATTCTTGTAAGAATCATAATAATATCTTTGTGTCGGAAGGAAAAATCGGGACAGTAGAAGTTGGTCAAAATGTTTTTGAAAAGTTAGGGCTGCGATCTGTGCCTTATATTGTCGACATAGGCTTACAAACGTTTCGCTTCTTCTTTCTTAGCGCGGACAACTAGAATGTGGGATTCTCTTCCTGCTGATCTATTCGACGACAGTATCCTATGGCGACAATACCCTCACCTACACTTTACACTTTCATGGCAACCACATCGGTCATACACAGTCAAATGACTAGCCTAGACACCACAAGTATGAAAAGGTGTGTTAAAATTACGTTTAGGGAATTAAAACCAAAATAACAATATTAAAGAGGTAAAACAAATTTATTGCAAACACTGATACGAATATGTACAAGTAGTAAAACTAACCCATAGTTTAAACGAAAACTTGAACGTAGCCTTCAATAAATTAAGACATTTTAACCTTTTTAACTAAAAATCTTTTTAACTACGCCTATAATGAAAAATCACATAATACCTCAAAAGTTTGGACATTATTATTTTAATACAAAATTATGACAACTGTCTTATATAACACTGTTATTGAAATTGGTTATGCGTCACATAGTATAGATAAATGCGTTGCTATTTGAAGAAACATTATTTTGCGTATGAAACCAAATACTGTCGTAACTCAAAATGGTGGAATTGAGAAGAGCACCTGCAGTAGAGCTCCTTGTGAAAGTGTTTGTCCAGGGAAGTACTGCCACCTTACCTATTCCTGCCGCCAAGCAGTAATGTAAACATTACTGCGTTCCAGTTTTGAAGGGTAAGGGTGCTGGTGAAGTTACAGGCACATAGGACTTATGTCTCAGGGTGACAAGCGCAGTGGCATTGCCCCTCAGAACTTTAGGATTTAAAAATCTTAGTGGCACTGCATCTGTTGTGAACAGGCGTATCGCTTTGTATCAGGCACACGACTTATTCTTCACTTTGAAGTGAAAAGACAAAAATTACTGAATGGAACAAAATATTTATATTCTTGTTTATACGATTAAATGCTATGCAAAAACAAAGGTAATGATATTCGCAATAAGATTCATTCAGTATTTTTTTCAAACTTATTTCCTCAATTCCACCATTTTTTAGTTACCGACAGTTTTAGTTTACATGGTAATATTTAAATCTAAGCAAACTTCATCACTTTTCAAAGTTCTTATTTGGTCGAGCTCGAAATTAACAAACTAAGTAAATATTGATGTAAATGAAGCATAACCTATACATTTTACTTTACTATTTTAGATAAATTTTACACTAACAATACTAGTAATATTTCAATGAAAAACTCTGAAAAACAAACGAAAAAAGCATAAAATAAAGTGACCATATAAGTCTACTAGGATCTCTTACCAAAGGGGGAAATTGAAAATTTTTAATAGAGAGTACCTAATAGGAAATAAAACTATTTCAGCAATAAATCGCGTATATTTACTTTTTCAAACAAACCAACGTTTCGGACCCTTTACAGGTAGTACGCTGCATATTGAGATAAATTATATATTTTTGCTTCATTCTTCAAAATATTTTAAAATTTTCCCACTAAAATATCTGAAAAAAATGCTTTATTATTATTGATGTAAGAACCGTGAACTCGAACCAGTGCCTGTTGCCATGCCGGGTTCACCGCTCTAAACCATCTGAGTATAAAAAATAAATAATAATAAGTGGAGTAATTTCACAAAAAAATATATGGAAGTAAAAAATCGTGGCATGCGATAAATAAATATTGTAATAGTTTTATTTCGAAAAATATAAGTACTCGATATTAAAAAAATCATGAGTGTTTCTTATTTTCAGACCTTCTTACATAAATATCTTAATTATTTTCGTACAACAAACATGAAACATTTGCTTAAATTTGAAGTAACAAATCGATGCCTTACTTTCTCAAACTCATATCTTATAAAGAATGATTATTCAGGAGATGGCAAAACTTTCTATTTATTTTAAATTTCTTATCAAGGGTGTTAATTTGGATGCATTACTTTAAGAATAGGTAAAACCCAGTGTGTGAATGTGAAGGAAATGTGATGTGAAATTAACCTGTAAAATTTGTATATACAATCCATTTTTTGCATTTCAGTAACTATGTGCTTTAAGATATCTCAAACTTGAGAAAGTACGGCGACGAAATTGAGATTGCCATACGAAATTCATTCATACTTTTTATCATCGTGTAGTAAGGTACTGGTAGACTTATACTTACCACACAAAAACTAGTGATAAAAGCTTTGTACACACATTTTAAAAGGAACTTCCAAACATCATCACGAATCAATATAATCGAACAAAATCTCAAAAAACCCTTCTAAAACTAACTGGTAGTTCAACTTGGAGCCACGTCATTTTGCTAAATATTAATGTACGCTATGGGTGCACCCGATAACAAGTGAAGTGATGAATACAGTACAGTGTTCAATCGTTTTGTTAACATATATAATGTGTAAATAAAGTGACACGATATTTTACATTACAATTGTTACTTAAGGTTTTTCTGCATATTTTGTGTACATAAAGAATGAGCGGGGTGAGGTGGGTGGAGACGGCGGGAGGGGGCGCTCGCTCACTAAAGAAAGTGGTACTTGGGCGCGCCGCACGCGCTTACAATGTGGTGCTTCTCACCACTATAGAATGTAGTCCAAGCTAATACTTTATCAAGACAACTCTCAAACAAAAGCAAGCCCTTCACCCCCGACTCCACTTCCGTCGTAGAAAATTGGTATTTCTCTCATCTTCAACCAGTCATTAGCGCGTTTACATTTACATAACTTATTTATTACGCTGACAATACTGGAAAAAAGGCCCAGTGCTATTTCCTGCTCCAGTAGTACATTATCAGTCAGTAGCAGCGTTTCCATGAAATTCTGATCGATTAAAACAAATCTTACAATTCAACAACTCAATTGGGAAGAAGTTTTGGACTGCAAAAACAAAAATTTTTGTCGTGTCCAGTTTTACTGTTATGATGTGCGACCGCAATGGTTGTTTCGGTCACACTTAAAATCATTTATATGCATATGAGCGAGATCGAGATAAATAGCTTTATGTTGATGTATATGGGACTCGTAATCATCTCACTTACACTACGCGGCATGACCATTCACGTTAACATTCAAGGCGGCTAATCTAGTTCGCAATTCATCTACTAATTTGTCCCTCGATACTTCGTCCTCTTTTCTAGTTGAGATATTCCTAACTTTAACCATACCCCGTTTAAGTTCAGATTCGCCTAACACGACCGCAAGAGGAATGCCATTCTCCTCGCAGTGCTGGAGTTGGGTGAGCATTTTTGGGTTCTTCTTGTAGGAATGTTCTGTCTGTAAACCAAACCAAAGCATTATTGACAAAATATGAAATTAAATATCAATAAAAATTAACAGCCATGGCAGTCTAATGGTTTCACCTATCGCCTCTCAAGCAGAGGCCGTGGGATGGAATCCCAACTCGCACTCTCACTTACACACTCTGACTTTTTCGGAATTTATATGCGAAATTTAATTTAAAATTTACCATGAGCTTTTTTCGGTGAAGGAAAACACCGTGATGAGACCTGCACGTCGAAAAAGGTTCAACCCTCAGAAAACGTGTAAAGTTCCCAACCCGCATTGGGCCAGCGTGACGGACTATGACCTAAACTAAACCCTCGCCTGAGAAAGACCCGTGCCCAGTAGTTGGACGCGTAAATAGGTTGATGATAATGAATGAAAATGACGATTAATAAAAAACACAAGTTATTTCAATTGGGAAAGTAAGATTTAGAGGTGAGAACCAAACAAATGTTTTTTGCAAATGGAGTTAAATGAAAAATTCTTTTTAGCCGACTTCAAAAAAGGAGGAAGTTCTCAATTCGACTATTTTTTCGTATGTATGTTACGCGATAACTCTGTGTGATATGTGATGCGATTTTGATAATTTATTTTTTGTTGGAAATTCCCATTTAAATTTAAAGAAAATATTCCACCTCTAAGGGTGGCTAACTAGGGGATGAATGATTACTGTGTACACAACAATTTTATTTACGAATGCTAAAAAAATAAGGTATAAGCTCAACGTCAACAAAAATTCTGCTCTTTAAAGTCTGTTTCTTGGCCCGTTGAACTCATTGAACATGTTTTCTGTAAAATGTATAAATGTTTTGGGCCTCTTATACAAGGGAGAGCCTACGCTCTAACTCTACAGTTACTAATAACAACTAAGGTACACGTAGTAGTACTTGCTGGTAGCTTTTGCTGCAGCTTGGAATGGAAAGTTCAGTTAGTGCATGGCTTCGGCTTAGACAAGGCCTTAGTATAACGAATGAATGTATAAGACCACACATTAAGCCCTTTGAAGGAAAAAAAAATTGCCAATTGGTAAGTTAAATTTTAGTTTTATTCGTTTACTTGTAAAAATCTTCTGTCGCTCTCAAAATTAAGCCAAGGTCATTTCGTGATTATTAGTGAAACTTTAGACGACTGTACCCGTCACTTTGAACAACTATTACTTTAGTAACCTCCCAGTAATTGAGAAAAAACATTCATAATAATTTATTCATTCATTATAACATATATATGCATTAAAATGTCACTATGTATGTTCTTATAATAAATATATAAACGAACAACTTACCTTAATCCCAGCGTTCCACAGTTCGGTACAGATCTTCATCCGTTCCTCGAGGAAGTTCTTCTGCGCAGACGCAACGTACACTTCCACCTCGTTCGTGCGGACTTTCATCTCACCGGCTTCTAGCTTAGCTTCGAGTACGGAGAATATGCGTTCCACACCGACACTGACGCCGACACAGGGGACCTGAAATTATGAGGGTAGATTTATTATACTCATTATGTTGTATAATGCGTAAAGTATACCATCAAGCCTATCTCGCAGTGACGTGGACAAACGGATCATGTGGAGGTACAGTTCCAGCGCCACTTGGAGCTTTAAACCGCAAAGTTCTATAGGGTACTCCCACTGCGCCCGTCATCCTGAGACATAAGTTGACAAGTCGCATTTGCCTGTAATTTAATCAGCACCCTTACCCTTCAAAACCGGAACGCAATAATTCTCACGTTACTGACTGGCGGCAGAAATAGGTAAGATGGCAGTACTTCCTTGGACGAACTCTTTCACAAGAAGCTCTAGTACTAATAAAATAAAAATAAATTAAAAATTTATATTCTTATTTATATTCTTATTTATATTTATATTCTACTTGAATTCGCCCCGTCAGGCGGAAATAAATTCAGCATTTCTAAACGGCAGACATGCAGACATTGCTTGGATAGTACCTTGGAAGCAAATACTTGTACACCGACACGTCACGCAGCCGTGACGGATGCGACGAAGTTTTAGTGCTTTTAAAGTGTAATTACTTACTTTCCACTTCAATAAAATACGAAAAATAAATAAAGTAGTATTTAATAACTGCCTTAGTGGCAGAACGGTGACCATGCCAGACTGCCACGCAGAGGTCCCAAGTTCGATTTCCGGGCCGGGAGGAATATTTGCATGGCCTACATTTATTTCTCTCGTAAGTTTGGGTGTAATTTGTGGTTGTCTGTGTGGGTGTCCATGGCACCCGCGACAAAGGGTTTCCCTAGTGCGTGGCTATGTTGAGTGTGTGTGTGCGTTATTTACATCAACAATAACATTTTATTTTAAAATCAAATTTATCCATCTGTACCTTAGACTATGGAAACTTAAGGACATGTTATGTTGACATATATAAATTAGACGTTATATGTATATGATGCATTTCGACGTTGAAAACATAAACATGTTTTTGTCTTTGTTTAACTATTGCGTGCCGTTTTAATCCAAAAGAAATAGTATTACATTGGTCTGTGTCAAACACGGGAATCGAAAATACGTAACGTCATCTTAAATACCAACTATGTCCATTTCGCAGTACATGAGGTACATGATACGGTTGTCAAAGAGAACTACATTAAATGTCAAAACAAATGCTTTACCAAGTGTTTTATTGAATTAACGCATGTATTGTAATAAAATGGACAACAATATTGACAGTGAGAACAATTGAGTATTAATAATAATTAGTCGCTGTACCATTACGGGATGTGGCGTTAAAAAAAGCGAAAATCGACCGAAGTAACATTGTACAGGCACGTGTTATTTTTCTGTCTATAACTCGCACAAAAGCCCAAATATCTCATGTAATTAGATATATTTAAGTAGTTTATTCATAAATCTTGCCAAATTTTGTTTTGGTTTCTTCAGATTGCTTGTTTGTTTCATTTTGATGATTATTGTTAACGATTATTTTGAGATAGTGTTGTTCTAGGAAGCGTACGTATTATCGATATTCTGTTATTAAAATAATTCATTACGAGGTTGTTATTATTTAATTATTATTATTTTTACGAATTCAAGTTTACCTACAAATCAAAAAAGAAAGGTTGGAAATCATAAGAGTGCCGAATATAAACATTGAATCAAAGACCATCTTCATTTATTTGCTTCATTTTGAAGAGTCAAATTTTAACATAACTTTTAATGTAACTAGATTACATGATAATGCAATTCCATCACTAGGTTTATTGGCAAATAATTTTATATTTAATTTAGATTAAACAAGACACATTTACTAGGCATTCACAGTTCCTGAAAACAAAATAATCCACTCGTTTCTGATTTTTTTCCCACTGACAACTCTAACTACTAAAAATTCTTATTTTATAAGGCCAGCAATACAATGACAACGTTGCCGGGTGAAGGCCAATACCAACTTATAGACAGTCTATTTGCCTTGCCATCGTTCGGTGTCACTCGCCTAGCTGACTGAGTTAAGGAGAGCACTAACGTGTATAGAGCTCGTTTGACGTGGCTTGTCACAACTCGCAGTCGCTCGTGACTATTTGTCTCACTTCTGAGAAGTGTCGATTTTTCCGCACAAATCAAAGGGGCTCGCGCTCAGCCAATAGTAGTCAATTGACATTGTATAATCAGACATTTGCATACTATTTAATTTATGTTAATGTGTATTTATGTGTGTATTATGTGTATAATTGCATAATATATGCGAAATATGAAATACTAACTATATGTTTATACTAACACTGTCTCTTGTTACATCTCCTGTTATACCATGTTTTAAGCAAAGAAACGTATGATAATAATATTATTATTGATAATATTACTACTTTCATTTATTTCCAAAATTAAATGGAAGTATTAAATATTCATTTAAATCAGTAACTGATATTAACTCTATACCAATGCATAAATACAAAAAAGCTTACACTATTTGGAAACTGTTTAAAAATTTCTCTATGAAAATATGAACCTTGAGGTTGGAAATGTATAGATCTCCAGATTTATATTTCAAAGTTTTCTCTTTTTTTATATACTCTCAAATTACATTTTTTCTGTGCAAATTCACTCTTCGTAATATTCTAGTATTTTTTAACGCAAAACAATAAATTCAAAATTTCGTGTGACATTTCCGGATATTCCCATATAACCTAAAATATTCCCAAATGGAATATTTATCTACTTTAATTAAATGTTTGCATGTCGACAATGACTTATCGATAGATTATGGGCACTAAAGAAATCCGCCATTTGTTCGTTCAATTTTTGTTTAGCTATGCACGTTCATTCCGTAGCTAGGGCAGCTCCTTTCTATTATTTTTTTTCCATCCTCTAAGATCTGTGCGAATAAATTGGTGACGCTATTGTATTGTTTACAGTATGCCACTCGGTATTCATTACCAGTTACGCATTCTGTTTTTGTTATAATTATTATCAATCAATACTTGTAGGTTAGTAACTTTGAACTGTAATTATTGTACCTGTGCTCAGTTTTATGCATATAATTATATTTGAGTAAAAAAAAGATATGCCAGATTAGGAGTACGTATACTAATCATATCAGTACAGAGTACTAAAAAAACTGACCTCAAAAGATCATGGAATTGCATCTATTTGCCAAGTTTTATTGAAATCAGTTACCCGATTCATCCCCTTAGAGCTGGAATATTTTCTTCAAATTGAAATGGGACCACTACTGAGGTATCCTCTTTCCAACAAAAAAAAATTTAAATCGGTTCACAAAGAGTTATCGCGTAACATACAAAAAAAACATACAGTCGAACTGAGAACCTCCTCCTTTATTGAAGTCGGTTAAAAAGTAGTAGTTTCGCATACCGCCGTGGACAGGGAGAGCCGCTTAAAAGCTAACTTACATCGGAAACTATGTTGGTGCAGTTCTGTGAAGCGGAGATTCGTGACAGGCGTCTGATTGATTATTCTTAAAAGTCTCCGACTTTACAGTGCTAATTTGGCAGTATTTAATGTAATTTTCAAATCTTAATTCCTTGATTGTATTTTAATTATATTTTACGATTTTATATATTTCTTATTATATCTTATTTTATTTTTATTTTAATATTTCAATTGTAGTATACTAACCTTACTCCTAAGTTCTGTACTAACAAACTATGGATAATTGTTTTTATCCGAAATAAAGTAATTATTATTAAAAAGGAAATACAGGAGAAAATTAAATGATGTCTAAGCGCAAAGCCCTATTGTACAGCTTGTTACATATTAGGTCTTAAAAAAATACATACCTGCTTGTTCTTAGAGTCGAACATGCCGACAAGGTTATCGTATCTACCACCGCCAGCTATCGAGCCGACTGTCTGGAATTCGTTGCCAATTTTAATAGGTTCTGAAAGGAAGTGTTCATCATCTATCACATTAAGTATTAGAAATCCGATACTTACAGAATGTTGTCGATTTTTATCATAGATAAAAAATATTGTGTAGCTATATACTCAGAGGTATAATTGAAAGTTGTGTAATTAATTTCATAAAATATATTCTTTAGGAGGAATAACATAGAAAAGTTATTGTAAAAATATCGTAAATGTATCGAGTTCTTAGGTTTTCGCGATTGTTACACATAGGAAATGAAACTATTTTTCCGGAAACTGTCAACCGTGACCATGCGACCTGTAAAGGGCCCGAAACGTCGGTTTGTTTGAAAAAACAAATATACGCGATTGAAATCCGGAAAAATAGTTACTTTTCTTATCATAAATGTCTCATAAAATCTATAACTTTTTATAATATTAGGTAGGAAAAGAATAAGGTTTTGCTCACCACTTAAAACAGCCTCATAAATAACTCCTGTATAGTAGTCCAGTCCTCTCGCTAAGCTTAAATCGAAAAGTATTTTATCTTCAATGCCAAACAATTCGCAATAATTGAGGAGCAACTTGATTCCTTCAAGGCCTTCAATTGCAGCCTTGATTTTTGATAGCTGTTCGTCTTTCAACAGTTTGTCAGCGAGTTCAGAACCACCGTTGAGGCGTACGTATTTCCCGATACGGTCTGCCGCTTCTGGTGATATGCCTTTCTCGTTAATCATTTCTGTCCGCACTTCTTCCCAGGTTAACTGCAATATTACGTTTAAGTTGTTTGTTTTATTACTTCACATTTGATTTTTTCCTCCGATAGTAATAAAAAAAAATTTAAATAAAACATTTTGCGTACAATTTGTGGCTATTTAAGGCTAGAGTGAATAGGCATTTTTTAGACAAACGCGTCCCATCGTCGCTTGACGCTGACAATCGTCGATGACCTTGAGCTTGATAACGCGCCTACTATAATTTCTCCAATAAGGTGGCGCCATACGCCCCGATGCGGTAAGAGTGTGGTAGTTGGACCTTCCGCTTGATTTAACATAATATTGATTGTCGCTAACAGATGGCGTTGTACTTAAAATACACACATGCTATTAAACCAAAAAATATCAAAGCATATAAGAACTGGACATGTTATGCAAACAAGAAACCCGCTCCGCTACCTGCTACCCGCTCACAAAAGATCCTGGCAACATACCAAGCCAAAACGGAGAAAATAAAAGTCCTTCAGGGTCCCAACCCTAAATAAGTAACTTTTTAATAGCTAAAAAAAACCTTGCTGCTTAACTTCATACAATATCTTTTTTTAAATATGCTAAACGGATCCATGTCACATGTACTGAAGTACTGTAGATCTTTGGCGTTTTCATTACGAAAACTAGAACATGGTTCTCGTTAACTAAATAAAAAGATACATAATGTTTTCTATTTATTGCTACATAATATAATAGTTTCTCAATATCGTTCTCACTGCTACAGTACATCGTTTGTCTCAAATAGCGATGCGCCGAGTACAAGTTTTACCGAGTAACCGAGTACCGAATATTACTCGATTTAACATTTGGCGAACCGAGTACTCGGCGGAGTTACTCGGTTCATTACAACCGGAACGCGATGATCCTAAAAGCCCCCGTTGCTCTAGAATTAGGCCGATATGTCAATGAAAGTTTATTGTCGCGAGAGCAGAATCCTTTCCAATGGTGGGCAGAGCATAAAACAAAATATCCAAAACTGGCACAGGTAGCACGAGTGTTTTTAAGTGCACCTGCAAGCACTGTGTATAGCGAGCGGTTAATTGCCGAAGCGAGTAATGTGTATGAAGAAAAAAGGAACAGACTTATTACCTGAACGCGCAGAAATCCTTGTAAATATTCCTACATCATAACTTGCCTTTGTTAAATTTTAAATATTAATAATGGAAACTTTCTTTTTAAATTACTAAATTGGTAGAAATTGTTACAATTGTCTACAATTTCTAGTAATAAATGTCTTTTGAATATTTTAAATATATTGTGGATTTTACTTTATTATGTCTAAGCTGTGATGCTTTATTTTAACCGAGTACTCTTCTCATGAACTGAGTTATTCGGCCGAGTAGACCGAGTACCGAGTAGCAAACGAGTACTCGGCGCATCTCTAGTCTCAAATAACTTGCCTATACATTTCTTCACACTGTTTTCACAAAAATCTAATTATCTCGAAAGTGACATTTTGTGGGTTGGTTATAGTTTGCATAACTATGTCCAACTACATATCTCGTAAGTATCGTGCTCGACGGCGAAATAGACAGCCGATTACAATACAATATAAATTAATTTGTCAAAACTATGTCAAAACAGAGGTCTGGCAAAGTATCCCACGAACGCAAGCTAAGCAGCAGAAGTTTTCAACGTTGAAATTTTACTAAATAATCAAGGACGCAAACAATCATTTCATTTTTATTTTGAATACTTTGTGTTTTAGGTTCTAATCCAACCAAAAATATATTTCTTTTATTCTCACCTAATGGTTTAATTTAACTTTTTTTAAATATTTTGTTTTGATTTCAAGGAATTGGTGCATTATATTTGCTTTATTTACGGATTTTATGTGTATGACATTTTTTTACACTGTTAAGTCCCTGTCCATAATTTGCAAGCAAATATTTAGCTCGTACTTTAGTAGGCGAAAGTTACTTTTTACTCCTAAATTTGTTATTTGTCTTTTATTTAAAACAAATAAAGTGTTAGGTTCAAGATAAGTACCATTTAAATAACCACACCAAATTTGGTAGTAAGCAAGTTTGGTTTGCCCGAGAAAATCAAATCAGGTGAGATTGTGGCCAAGCGTGTGTCTATTATATGTATATTTAAAAAAATTATACTAAGTTTATAATTATTATACATATCAATACTATTTACATGTAAAAAAATGTAATATATTTTTATACATGCAAAATAGCATCCATAATAATTATTGTACTATAATTTAATTTGAAGTAATATAGTAGAAAAAATTAAATGTTGTTTTCACAAACACCATTATTGCGTCCATAGCTTAAATTTCCTCATTCCTTTTACAATTACTTTGTTATATATTTCGACAATGTACCGTCATGATGGATGATTGAGACAACAAAATTACTTATATCATAATGATTATTTATCCTTGTACAAATTTTTTGGTCTGATAACATTATGGTGACACAGGAAACGTCACCCTAGTTGAAGAACGAAGTCGTGTAGTAACTACTCACTTTATCCAGCTTATCAACTGTGGAGCATGTAGCTCTAAAATTCGCAGCCGATACGCCGCATGCCTCAAACATGCCATCTAGAAGTCTCCTATGGTTCACTTTTAACACATAAGGGCCAATTTCAATAGCGTCCAATATCTCCGTGACTACTTTCAGGCACTCTGCATCAGGCACCATTAGGTCGTATTGGCCTGCGATGTCGAAATCCTGGAAAGTATAAATTACAATAACAATAATATAACTCTTGGGAACTAATTTTCATTATCTACATGTTCCTATTTCTTAATGACAACTTGGTTGATAAACTTTTACAAATACTAGCGCAAGGAATGGTGTAACTAATGAAAACTGAAGTGTGAGTTCTACTTACAATATCAAATTAAAAACTTGGATTTTCTTGCACAGAAATATATACAATTCTCAGTCATTAATCAAATCTACTGTCTTAATGATACACCTGTTTGTGCCATTACGCAAATGAAAAATGTTCTGTATAACCAGTCAGCTATTATTGTTTTAAAACACTATGACATGGTAAACACATATTCATAAAATATCAAGGTCATCAAGCAAAATATAAGGCCAGTCCCATATCTTTCTACGTAAGTTTTATTATACGTAATATTTATTACGTAGTTTTGTTTATAGTGTCCCTCCCTATCAACCTCTTGATTATGCGGGAAGGTCACTATGACCTGAGCGAGCGAGCCCACACAGGGACCATCTAAGTCAGGTCCAAACCCTAGTTCAGCCCGTTTGGACGGACTCCATCCGGTTCTCTGTAAGGTGCCTTAGGTGAGCCGCACCCGGGTGCGCGTACAGCACCGTCCCTATTTTCCAGATAGGTACCGGAGCTGTAGGCACGCTCACTTCCCGTCGCGCTCTGCGCAACTAACGGATGCCACCGCTGAGCAGCGTCGACTACCAAATCTCCACATTGGTGGCGGAGCAGTAGTGCACGCTGACTTCCGGACGCCGAATGAACGGCGTCTCTACAGTTTCCAAATTCCTACGCGGCCGTAGAGACCGGAGGATGTCTAGCTCATCCTCTACTAACTCTCCAGGCTAGTGCTGGAGATGCCAGGTAGCAATGCCCTGCAACAATATCCGGACATAGCTATCGGTTTAAAGGGCAAGTCACGTGTCCCGCGCGTCTTTTCGCCTCCGGCCCTTAACTAGACCGCTACTAAGACGCGCTAGATGCGCGCGGGACGAACGCTCCGGCCACATGTTACTGAGGCAGATGAACGTGTTCATCCCTGCAGCTGACCACAAACGCCGGCGAATCTATACCCGAGTCCGGGTCTGCCAGAGACGCCCGTGAAGACGTATCCAGGTGGCCCGGACGCCCACCGTCCTAGTCTTACCGGGGGGCCAGTAGTCTCCCCGGAAAACCCTATCTTTCGGGTCAGTAGATAGGGACACATACAAGACCATAAGGTGTAATTATTATGGTAAAATTATACTTATTGGGATGGGATACAATGGGATGATAGTCTTGTGACTAGCACTACTGATTGTTCAATAGAAATGCATAAAGTTTGGGTAATCTGCTACAAAAATTAGTGATGAACAAAATAAAAAAAATTACTTACACACTGATAAAACTCTCTATATCGTCCCCTTGTCATTGCTGGATTGTCTCTTCTATAAACCTTGGCAATATGATAGCGTTTCAATGTGTTTATCTTACTCATTGCCAAATATCGGGCCAAAGGTACTGTCAAGTCATATCGAAGAGAGAGAATTTCGCCACCTTGGTCTTTGAGGTCATAGATTAGCTTGGAATCTTCCCCATATTTTCCAGTTAGTACTTCCTGAAAAAAGATTTTAAAATTTTTTAAAAAGAACAGCATTTATACAACATACAACAAGATTTTAGCTATAAAATTTTCAGAAGGATGACAAGGAGCATGATGAAGGCAGTAGAAATATTTCCATTCTGTGACCACCTCTATTAACAGTTAATGTTAACATATCTGGAATCAGTAAAACAACATCTAAAAACCCCTTGCAATCGGTTTCTTTTACATCTCACTTAGTTTCAATTTTATTTTTAAGCAAAATCAGTAGAGATGAAACGGATAGTGCATTGGCTGGATACCGGATATCCAGCGTGCGCCTAGGCCGGTTAGCTGGATATCCGGCCGCCGGATATCTGACTCAATGCCGTAAACATGTCGCGACCGGTTTACGGTGCGCATCGTCGTGATTGATTAATAAGTGAATGATTTGCACTTGAACTAGTTACTTGGTTTGTGGTTGTCACTTGGTTTTTATTAAAACGATTAATTTATTTGATAATACATAACAGAAAAATGTCAACTGTGAAAAAAAAACGCAATATTTTAATATCAGTGCTGTTTGTTTGTTGTGCCGAATACGAATATCTCACGGTGGAGAAGGAATCATCACTCTTTCGCTGTATTCATATTTCTAGTTGTTATAAGCCTAACACTTGATATGCCCATTATTATTTTGTTTCAATTTGATTGCAGTAACTTGTTTGTGATCTAACTAATTCTAATCCTTGGTACAAGATATGCGAAAATGTTTAATCCACTTACACATTTCATTATTGTAGGTAAATATTGCATATGAAGACAATTCAAATCGATCCTGATCGCGATCCTTACATTTGGTCGTCTGGCAATAAAAAGTAGTACTTAACATTTAACAGTTTGCAAGAGTTTATAGTAAAAACTGTCCTTTGAAGCTGGTCTCGTTTATAACTTTTACCACTTAATGCAGAAAAACTAGTCTCCATCCACCATAATTTGCCTTTATTGAAATTTGAGTACTTATCTAACGTCATAGTTCTTTCAGTTGCAAGTAATAAACATATTGTCATCGATCCTGTAGCTGCTGTTTATCCCATTACTATCATCTTTAATCACTAAATAAATTTATTTGGCATGCTGATTATGAATTTTTCTGTTTTAAACAGCCGGTATCCGGCTGGATATTGTTCTAATATCCGGTATCCGGCCGGATGGTAAAAATACGCCGGATACCGGTTAGTTACTGGATATCCATTTCATCTCTAAAAATCAGTATAATTGACATTTTTATTAATTGATATTTTTACAATTGACAAAGAAAAATAGAATTTTGGTGCCAACATCTCGAAAATTACCAAAATGAAAAAGTGTTGTTTATGATGAGGCCAACCTCAAGTGAACTATCTCATACAACAATATACAATGGCCCCTTGATATGAAATGGAGTGTAAATGCACAATGCAGGCAAAGGTTGAAAAAGCAAACTAATTTTACCTTTAACTCAAAAACTGGTGTATCAATACACTCTGCTCCATGTTTCTTAAAAACTTCAGTAATCTTTTGCAGAACATTATTTCTGATTGTCATCTGTTGTGGATTATAATCCTTGGTCCCTTTTGGAGTTTTAAGTGTAAACTTTTGTGGGGCTGCATCTTCAGGACTAATCTGGTTTTTTAGAGCAAGCAATTTTGCTACTTCTTCTTGTATCTAGAAAGTGCAATTTTATTTACATACATGTGCAATAGGTAAGAGAAGTTTGGATTGAAAAATATGGATGTTGCGCGAAGGAAAATTATACTTTTACTATTTTTCCTATTTTTTTTGTCTTTTTCTCCTTTGTTTTTATTTATATTTTAAATAAATAAATTGTTTATACAATTAAAAGAAAAAACAAAGTTCTAGTTTTATAATATTGCTGTACCATACATTATTCTTTATCATATTTATTTTTGTATTAAGCACATGTGTAAAATTACTCTAAGTTTCTGAAAAGTTAATATTTTCAAATCTGATATAATCAGCTTGTGTACAAGAGGTGGTCCATAGCCTGTCTTATATCTAGATAGAGATAAAAAGTATTGCTTAATGTTGCTAAACTACATATTTTTCACTGCAAATTTTACAGCAATAAGTAGCTTTCCAATACCTTGTAGCAAGAAGTTGTTGAAATAGTTTTTGTGAAACCATTGACAACTACATTGGGTAATTGCAACATTTTGGCATGATTTCTTAAAAACCTTAGCGCTTGATAAGACATGCTTCACTAAGTATGCTTTCTAACATCCAATATGATTCCTCATCACCACTTCTTTGGACCGGAAACAAATAAGAGGTGTTGTTGTAAATCAAAACTATGTTTTGTTTTCTGTATAACGAAGGTGTTATTCTAAAAAAATTTGTCATATACACTCATTTTGTGTTGTATAATATATATGTATACTTTTTGAGTTGTGGTGACGATATAACCATATGTGGAGGTTCAGAATTAATCTGATTAGTTACTTTTTAGAACACTCCTGGAAAATATTCTAATTAATGTCAAGAATGCTCCAAAAAAGTAGCTAGTGCCACACATTAGAGACCCAAACAAAAGTGCTAAATCAAAGAAAAGCTCAAATCTACATTAATGGCAAAGTAATTTTTCACAAACCTGTTCATCAATATTTTTATTACTCTTTTCATCAATATTTTTATAGCCTTCGGACCATTTTTCATTATTTGGAGGAGTCGCAGGGAATAACGATATTTCAGATTCGCTAAAGCTCCGCATATGGTACCACCACCTCTTGATATGTACATATTTATTCATATCAAAATTATTTCCTAATTTACTACTAAGCTCTATGTCAAATTTGGTAGGCATATAGCCGCATATATAGCTGTATTGTGTTAAACGTTTGTCAAGTTCGTCGACATCGTAGGGCAAATCCATTTTCCTTCCCTATAAAATAATTTATTGGTTAGAACGAACGTGATGCAATTTCCTAAGTGCGAAGGCAATATCGCCCTTATGAAAGTATAACTAATCACATACTACGCATATCATGGTTATTTCTGCGTAATATAATAACGTGTCGACATCGCAACACTCGACCTACATCAAGGCGAAATTAGTCACTGACTTATAACCTTCAAAATACAATAGCATTGTAAATTGTAATCCAAATCATTAATACATTAGAATCAGAAATGTATACTTATAACTACACACCTTTTCATTAGATTCCTTAGCAGCCTTCAGTTTTCTCACAAGATCGCCTTGTTCTTTGATTTTTTGAACTAACACTTCTTGATTTTCTGCCATACTTGTAACAATACGGTATCTAATCTGCAATGTCTATCTATGCACACGTCCGTTCACTCAAGGCTGCACTACCAGTAAAAGTTAAGCGTCAGCGAAATAAATCCTCTCGAACTAATGCCTTTCATTTTCATGCAAGTACGAGACGAACTCCACGAACTCGCAATTCGCAATGCTGCGAACGTCAACAAAAAAATAGGTTAGAATAGGATAGAGTTGTAGCAAGGTAGGTAATATTTAAAAAGCGTTATTTAAAAACCGATAAAATATGGTAGTGAAAAAAGTGGCAAATAAGACGCAAAAATGGGCTGTTTATTTGTTTATTTAATGTAGGCTTAAAGATGGCATTAATTATAATAACACAACTATATTCAAATGCAATTATATTACAATATAAATACGGAGTGATTTTTTTAAATGGCTGTCTCCTTAGAATAATAACGAACTTAGAATATATCTTCTCTAAGTAAAGTGAGATTACGAATACCCAAGTGTGCCATCCTTTTATGCCAAAGCTCCGACTCATTGCTTACTCCTGTCATCATTCCGAAGGCCTGTGGAAAGCATTTAAGTTTATAAACGCCTCTAACAAGTACTCCTGTCATATAAGGTTGACCCTGTATCGTACACTCACTCGTATCAAAGATCTCATATTATTTTTTAGAGAACACAACAACTTTATCTTTTGTATTCACATACAGCTTACACTCAATAGAAGCAAGACTTACGTTACTCACACTAATGCTATTCTTTACTGTATCTTCTCCATACACTTTACCTCCATTTGCGCAACACGCTTCTACCTTCCTTCCTACTTTCATAAAATAATCCATCTAATCTCTTCTATATCTCATATGTGTTGATGCTCGGAAATCTAAAATCCGTTCATCTTCATTGTTCTTTTCTTGAACAGAAGTCAGTGCCTTGCCATATGATTCGTCTTGGATTGACATCCATGCTCTGACAGTTTCTTAAAAGAACTCAAGTAACAAGAGTTGAAAAAAATACAACTCGTCCCATCCCTAAGGTGGTTGTTGTTTTTTCCATTCTTTCCATAATACCATCGTTTACGCTTTTATGATGAAGTAAAATGACTGTTCATTGCTTAGAGCATATAGGACGGGAAGCGCTATTAGCGTTATTTCTCGAACAAAACTATCTGTCACTTTTTGAGGGGCGGAGGAGTAGTACTATAAGCAAACAGGTGCACTCTAATGCAAAATTGAATTGTGTCACTATGGTCTCACACAGACAAAAGTCTACAACACTAGCTTATTTTTACAAATACACACATTGAATTTGTAAGTCAATGAATACACAGATATAAAACCCATTCATGTTATGTCCGTACACAGAATAGGCCTATAAAAATAAATCGACTCTCATGAATATACTAGAGATGGAAAGTTATCGGCGTGACGGTGTCGATATGTATTACGTTCTGATTAATCATTTATATGAACTATGAACAATGTAATTCCACCCTTGGCTAAGCTGAATGTAGTGAATTTCTTTTTCCAATTTTGTGTGTAGTGTAACAGTGGTATTGTTTTACTAGTATTAACCAGAGGAAATTGCCCATTGACTTACCAATAAATGGATGACAATAAATACAATCCAAAGTCTAATCTAAAAACCGCGAAAAAATGTCCGGAGTTTTTTTTCTCAGCTTATGGCTTTTCGCGGTCAGCGTTGAAGCCAATGACAAGCATGGCCGAAGTAAACCTTTACAAACGTAGTGACATGTATAGAAATATTAAAAAAACTAAAACATTTAATTTAAACTGCAATTAAAATTTAAAAAAAATTTAAAAACTGTAATAGTCATTGCAGTATTGCTTAATTTTGTTTGCCACAATTTAAAGGCCCAAAAATTATCAATATTCAGCTTCTACTGGAAATAACAAAATGCTCCGTATTTAGCTTGTAGTGAAAACTACTTGAATACAACAGTCATAGAGTAGTCTTCATGTCAATATTAATTAATTTTATAGTATTATATTAAATTTTATACGAATTCACTTCAAGTACTAAGAGTTGTGTAGATATATAGGTACATACAAATATTGTAAATGTGAAAATAGCTGTGTGTCTCTGTTGGTAGTTATAACGTGCTGTAAGAAATGTATCGATGATTCGAATTTCTAGATTCCAAGTAGAAGTAAACTCAAAGTTTCATAATCTCGAAAACCGATTTATAACAAAACCGTTATGCTTTCAGGGGATTTCGGTTGCATATTACTAAGAAAAGATTAAGTTAGTTTGTTTTGTAATATTCCTAAAATAACCTAAAAAAGTACATTTGGGATTACAAAAATTCGAACAAACATTACTTCGGGTAAATGTGTTTTCGGACTTCTTATTGGTAACTCCAAACCAAAAGTAAAACGAATACAACAATATTTTGTTAGTTATTTATTAAAAAGTCATTTAAAAGATAATATTAACATTAAATCAGCTCTATAGTTTCTTTGTTCGAAATCTAAATATTTCAATGGCTTGTGGTTCGAAAATTGAAATTGACATAACGGGTCTCTTTCAGTCTTTTGCGCATGTCTTGTGTAGGATAAGGACAGTTAGCTATTTGATTATTTTTATTGTTTTTGTAAGTTATGTATATTGTATGTACTCGTATATGTACTTTTTATTTTTTTCTTACAGCACGGCTTGATTTATGATGATTTATATTAAACAATTACAATTTAATTTCAGTATATATAATTTATTACATTGTTATTTAATATCCAATACGACGGAGACATCAATTTGCATAAACTTCGTTATATAATCTGTCGATAAAAATAGGAGCTAAAAGAGTGCGTCGTTTCTCTATAACGAAAAAACAGCGTCCATGAAGTACTACGTTTTTTGTCTATAGTCTGTTAGTGAATAGAAAACTTCATAGGCATGCTTATGTCAAATGTTCGAACGTTTTCAAATATTTTCTAAGTAATCGATAAATTGAATCAATGTGATCATTGTGAAAAAAATGTCATAAAATAGAAAATTAGCAATTAATGTAAAAAATAGGCTTATGTATGGAATGTAATTCCACCCTTGGTTAGACTGTATGCAGCAGAGATTTTTTGCAAGTTTGTATAGCGCAAGACGACATGTTTCGTGGAGTACTTGACGCGGTGAATTGGATAATGGAAATGAAAAAACATCGATTTAAAAGTAGTGTTTATTGTGCGATAGTTGTTTTGTGCTTGTACCTTGACAGAGGAAATTGCCTATCGATGACGCCTCCGGTCCTATAAGCTCTAGGTTCATTGCGCAAAAGTGTTGCTTAGAGGTGGGTGATAAATAACGTCACGATGAAAAAATCACGATGATCCGCCGTCAAACAGTATCACTGTGACTCGTTCCGAAGGAACGACGTTCCAAAGTCACATAGGTGTTCCTCCGTTCCAATAGCTATCCCCGTCACTCACATCACGACATACGTATTTGATACAATGCGCGATCTCCGTTCCGTGGTGACTGAGCGCGCCACTCGTTGTAGTTCTCTCCAAATCGGGCCATTTCGGCGATGCGAGTGAATGAAATAGGATGATTTTCTTTGCTCACTCACAAGGGTAAGTAGTAATAAGCATCTACGTGCTTATTACTACTAGAAAAGGCCGATGAAAAATATCTGCAGCAGTTATTATAAACCTATTTATGAACAAAGTAAAATATTTTTGTATATTTGTTTTATTATAGAAAGAGTTGGTATTTTATATTTATGTATAATCTACTTTGTGTATTCTACTAGAAGTATAATTACATTACACTTTATTGCTATTTTTAACAATCCAAAGATTCGCATTAAATAAGTAACAAACAAAATTACATTAAATACAAAATCAACTTTTTGAATGGAATTGAAACTTATTACAAAGGGAGTAAAAACTTAAATCATTCTATAAAAAAAACGGCTATAAGTATTAGAAAGAAGCCGCTGGCTAAAACCGTATATCGTGATGTAAGTTATAGGCGTGACAAGGTCACGGAAATAACAGTCGTGATAAAATCACGATGATTTATCACTGTAATTTTTTTGGAACCGGAACGACAGTCACGGCGATAGAAATGTAACGCTATTCCCCATGTCTAGTGTTGCTCGCTTACAAGCAGCAAGTGATTGCAGTCGATAAATATTTTATCGACTACCAAGGGAATGTAATTTTATGCTTATAAAATAAATAGCCGAACTTGTTTCATTTTAATCGTCATCGGCCAATTATTTGTTTAACTGCCTGGGCACAGGTTCATTTGAATTGTTAATTTCTGAAAATTCATACATACGCTAATTTAGGAGTATGTGTATTATAAAAAATACAAATAGGAGACATATTTTAAAGTTTTTAATTAGATTTTTTAATATACATGCTCAAATGCGCCAGTTGTTATTAAAATGTGTATAATTAAAAATTTGTTTCCATACTAGCAGACTAATAGTCAAAATAAGAATAAATAATACATAAACGCAATTAGTAATCATTAGAACGTAACATTCACAATTCAGACATTTTGGCAAAATTTTAACTACCTTTATAATAAATCGATAAAATGGTCAGAACAACAAAAACTGGCAACCCTGAAAAATGTCATCTTTACTGGGGATTCGCTCTGGGCCTTTTCGAGGGAAAAGTGTCGTTTTTATTTTGACCTTCAATTATTTTGTGAAATCTAGTTTAAAGTGGAATAGGAATTTATGGATACTAATAATTTTATTAGTAAATATTTTTATTTGACTAAAGATAGGTATCTTTCTAGTTATTTTAGGAGACAGATAGCAGAGTTGCTATCATATTATATTAATAATTCAGCCAAATCATTGGCTACCAGACCGGCTGCTTCTATTGAGCAGTCCGTTGACATAGGTCAGTTTACTGACAATAATCATTCTGTTGAAAATAATTCAACTTCTAATTATTTAAATTAATTAATAAGACAACGGAAAGATACTCTTGCAACACAATGACAATAAAAAACCAACCTAAAACACACAGAAATAAAATAAATTGTATATTAAACCTGGTGCATCAAAATATTCAAGGCATGAAAGGCAAAGAGTTAGAAATAGAATTATTTATTAACTGTAATAATATTGATATTCTGTGTATTACTGAACACCACTTTCTATCAAAACATCAGTTCATGTTTAGCTTCAACAATCACCAGGTGGCTAGTTCGTTCAGCAGAGAAAAAGCTATTCATGGCGGCTCTTTAATTCTTATTAAAAATAATTTAAAATTTAAAGAACGTACAGATATTGTGAGCCTATCTATTGAGCGGACTATAGAGATATCCTGCATAGAGCTTGAACGGCTTGTTATATTAAGCGTGTACAGACCCCCTCATTCATCTTACGAACTATTTGAAAAAAGATTAGATGAAGTTTTAGGCAAATTAAATAATCCAAATAAATATATTGCTGTTTGTGGTGACTTCAATGTTAACTTATTAGAAGATTCCAGTGCTAGCAGTAGGCTCATATCATTTTTCCAATGTTATAATCTTGTGAATCTTTTCTTGGTGCCTACTAGAATAACTTCTACTACTGCCACTTGTTTAGACAATATTTATTTATACTAACGCCGTACCTAGTAATAAATCTATTATAAATAAATTAACTTCTGATCACTGCGGTCAATTGGCCACTTTTAATATAACTGTTGACAAAATGCCAAAAAAGGATATCACATGTGTTCCGATAAATAATGGTCGACTTAAAGCTTATAGAAATAATGTAATGCTTAAACTAACTGAACTTCCGTACGTTAACGATCCCAATAAATTGTATTGATTGGGCGACTGTGGGAATTCACAAAAGTAGACAAAGACTATATGATCTTTACGATGAAAGGACTTATAACACTAGTAACAGTTTTAATGATTTTGTTAGGAAATATTCGAAAATGTTTAAACGTGTTTGTGTTGCAGCCAAAGCAATGTTTATAAATAATAAAATAAAAAGCAGCGCGAATGTAATAAAAACGACTTGGAATATTATAAACAGCGAAACTGGAAGGGTCAAACCTCGTAACTTAGATTTTCAACTAAGATTTAATGACAAAATTGTAAACACAGACGCAGAAGTTGCTAAAATATTTGAAATTTTTTTTACTGACATTCCAATTTTGACTACTAAGTCGTTAAATTCATCTCCCACCGCCGCTGAATCCTTACTAAAAGAAAATAATGCAGTTAGTATCACTAATTTAAGGTTCCGTCATGTATTTCCAAACGATATTGTTAAAGCCTTTAAGTCTATAAACATAAAAAATACTGCTGATCTTGATGGTCTTTCAGTCAGAGTAATTAGTTCTATAGTTGATTGTATTGCGCCTTATTTAGCCTGTGTCTTTAATGAATTTGTTGATGATGGTGTCTTTCCTGACCTCATGAAGCAAAGTAAAGTTATTCCACTTTTCAAATCTGGTAGTATTTCTGACCCCACCAATTTCAGACCTATATCAATACTACCAACTCTCAGTAAAATATTTGAAAAAAATATTCTAAATCAGATGTGTGCACATTTTTATATTAATAACTTAATGTCTCCTAAACAATTTGGTTTCACTCGGGGTCGCTCTACAACCGATGCTGGTGTCGAGTTGATTAATCATATATTTGATGCATGGGAAGTCTCACATGACGCTATTGTGTGCATCATGATACACTGGTCAGGAAACTTCGCCATTATGGTGTGGCGGGACGTGATCTCGACCTTCTAAAATCGTATTTGCGTGGTAGGGTACAGAGGGTCGATGTTAACGATACGAGATCGTCAGGATCTGCAATTAGCATGGGTGTCCCTCAAGGTTCAATTCTAGGCCCATTTTTATTTTTAGTTTATATTAATGACTTACCTAGCCTTATGGAGGGTATAAAACATGAGATAGTATTGTTTGCTGATGATACTTCCTTATTATTTAAAGTTAAAAGGCACCAATGTTCCTACGACGATGTGAACAATGCTATATCTAAAGTAGTTGATTGGTTTGCTGTTAAAAACCTACTTCTTAATGAGAAAAAAACAAATTGTGTGAAATTTACATTACCCAATGTTAGAGAGACGGTTACAAACATTGTAGTTAGAAACGAAAAATTGAATCTTGTGGATACAGTTGTATTTCTAGGTATAACGTTAGATGCTAAATTGCAATGGGGTCCCCATATAAGTAAGTTATCAAAACGGCTCGGCTCTGCAGTGTACGCGATTAAAAAAATAAGGAAACTTTCAGACGTCGAAACCGCTAGATTGGTTTACTTCAGCTACTTTCACAGTCTAATGACATACGGCATTTTGCTTTGGGGTAATGCCGCCGATATCAATAGAATCTTTGTCCTGCAGAACCGTGCAGTTAGGGCAATTTACAATCTGGGCCCCAAAGTATCTTTGAGAGATAAGTTTAAGGAAATTAACATTCTTACACTAGCCTCACAGTACATTTATGAAAATGTAATTTATGTTAAAAGGAATAGTAATATATTTATGAAAAATAGTGACATAACATTAATACGAGGAATAGAAATAAACTAACTTTTCTTGATAGTCGTCTTCACAAAGTCAAAAAATCATTTAAGGGGCAATGTATACGCTTCTATAATAAGATTCCGGTTGATATACAAAATTTGCCTTTCACGAGGTTTAAAACTATAGTGAAACAAAAACTTTATACTAAATGTTATTTATTATACAACTTCTGCGTACTTGGATGACAAAAATCCGTGGTAGTAAGCCGTTTAGCTCATGGAGGTAGTCTCGATCTCTGATGTTTCAAATAAAAAAAATATTGTAAATGTTATTTACAAAGAGCAACCCCTAGAGTTTCTTGCTCATTCTTCTCAGGGGAATCTGCCTTTCGAATGAGCGGTAGAGTTTAACTATTGTGACGATTTCAAGTGTAATAATGCTTACCTATGAAATAAAGATTATTTTGAATTTGAATTTGAATTTGAATAGGATAGAGCTATTGTGCCTTAATCGAAGATTAAAACGCGAAATTATACGAATCTCGAACTAAAATACCCGTATGAAAACTGGCAACCCTGAAAAATGTCATCTTTACTGGGGATTCGCTCTGGGCCTTTTGGAGGGAAAAGTGTCGTTTTTATTTTGACTTTCAATTATGTTGTGAAATCTAGTTTAAAGTGGAATAGTAATAATAATAATAATAATAATAATAACGCACACACTCAACATAGCCCCGCACTAGGGAAACCCTGTGTCGCGGGTGCCATGGACACACACATAGACAACCACAAATTACACCCAAACTCACGAGAGAAATAAATATAGGCCATACAAATATATCTCCCGGCCCGGGAATCAAACCCGGGGACCTCTGCATGGCAGTCCGGTATGGTAACCGTTCGGCCACGGAGGCAGTTAATAGGATAGTGCTATTGTGCTTTAATCGAAGATTAAAACGCGAAATTATACGAATCTCGAACTAAAATACCCGTATCGGCCCGTTCTAAGGAATCCCGAGTCAATCCAAGCACGCCGCCTCAAATTGCCTATCCTCTTTGTGGCGGCCATATTTACAGAAAAACTTATTTTTATGTTTTCGGCTGAAGGTCTTTGTTGCCATGGCCAGAAATAAATTAATAAAAAAAAACATCTTTACTGAAGTGATTTTACTCCGACCTAATAAATTAATTTTATTTAAATTTACATTTTTTTAAATAATAATTATTTTTTTCCACCTATATGGTTTCTCGGTATTAACGGTATGTCTTACAGTCGTCAGTCGTCACGTCCGTAATGGATCGATTTGAATACATAGAAGCTCGTCTATTCGAAGGCGAAAATTACATCAAAAGGGAAAAAAATGTAAAAATTTACGATGGAGATGATAAGGTTTGATTCATTTATGAATTCCTAACGTTCTACAGCTGTAAATAGTCCACAGAACGCTGAAGTCAGAATCATGGTTGAGTCGATAGGGTTATATGTCTTAAAACTCCTATTTATTTGCTCGTGGTATGTATCAAATTAATGGTTGTCTATTTTAGACTCAATTTACAGATGGTGAAGTGGTTCTAACAACTCACAGGATTCTCTGGGGAAAACCAGGGGACATACCGAAAGGTCTAGTCTGCTTGTCTCTGCACTTGTACTATGTATTTTGTCTTGAAGAGGAAAGTGGTGGAGTATTTGGACTTGGAGGGCCTAAGAGAATAATATTGCATCTTGGGCCATCGTTACCAGGTGTGTTAAGCTTTTGATCAGATATTATATTGATACCTCTCTTGTAAGTTGTTGCACGCCTTAAAAATAGCATTTTTTTGACTTTTTAAGTTAAAGATATCCCTTTTTGTAATACCAAGTGACGAAATGAACAGTTCATGCACCTGGTGGTAAGCAACACTCCTATTCATTCAATTGCATTCCACTAAGATCTCACACATAATGATCTGAGTGGCACTACCATTGCGCCTGTCACCCTGAGAAATAAGTTGACAAGTCCCATGTGCCTGTAATTTCACCAGCACCCTTCCAAACTGGAATGAAGTAAAGCTCACATCCTGCTTGGCAGCAAAAAGAGATAAGGGGGCAGTACTGAAAGAGTTTGTTCAGCAAACTCTTTCACAAGGAGCTCTACTCCTACTTTTATGTAAATTATAGGTTTCATTTTTAAAAGTAAAGAAAACATTGTTTTTTGTTTACTCTTTATGGAATCTATAATATAATATGTGTGTGTGTATATAAAGGTTATATTTAATATTTTTGTGACTTACAACTTATGTGGGAGGTATTGATATGTACATACTTGGCTTTAGAAGTGTTGTTATTCTCTGGCATATAATAACATAACCATAGCACTACGGAGCATGGTAGCAGGCTTACTGGTCTAAAACTGTGACTAATGATATGGCAAAATTTGTTCTAGGAAAAAGACCAGGTCCTGCTGTAGTGAGTCCTTTCCATTTTGTCAAATTCTCCTTCAAAGATGGAATTGATCCAGCCTTTTACAAAGCACTGGGTGAGGCTGTGGCTGCAAAGGCTTGGGAACAACCAACACCAGTATCATCTCCTATTAGTCCTACAAACTCTAGCAGTTCTGGAAGACCTTCAGTAGCACCAACCTCTTCTAGAATCAGATCGGGCATAGTTGGCATTGAAAGATCAATTGAAGAACAACACCGTGCCACAGATGAGAGTATTAGTGTAGCTTTCAAGGATCTTACAAAACTTATGGAGAAGGCCAAGGATATGGTTGCAATTTCTAAGAATATTTCTAATAAAATTAGGGTAAAGTTTTTTTTGTCCTGTTTTTAGTCATGTCTTTAATTTTTGTGTGTTGTTTGTACTACTATAAAACAAAGGTTTGTACAGTCAAGAGCACGTCAAGCTTGACACTTTGTACTTTGGACCGTTCTTATTGTAAGCGGCATAGAGTTGGATTTCAGTCTTAAGTGTCAAGCTTGACGTGCTCTTGACCCTGTACAATAATATGGTTCATCTATCAACAGGAAAAACAAGGTGATATTTCTGAAGATGACACAGTGAGATTTAAGTCGTACTTAATGAGCCTTGGAATAGATGATCCAGTAACAAGGGATGCCTTTAGATCAGATTCTGATTACTACATGGGATTAGCTCAGCAAATATCTGACATGATGGTTGCTGTGTTAATGGTAAGATTCCTATTTTAGTTGTAATATTGTAACTGTCAATGCCACCACATAGATAATGTCATAATGGTAAGGGTGCTGGTGAAATTACAGGCATATGGGACTTGTCAACTTGTTTCAGAGTGACAAGTGTACAATTTGGTCATCCCATCACTAAGTATGATAAAAAATCGTGTGGAGCTAGAAAATAGGTTCTTGGAAAAATTCTATGAAATCAAATACTTTGTGTATGTAATCAAATACGTTGTTAACAGAAGGGCGAGCATGTCGCCACGACTAACTCGAAAGCGACATAAAGCTCGAGATACTGGTATTCTGGCATCTCTATGCAAGAATAAAAATATCGCGCTTCTATGTCTCGCACAAGTCACGCCCTGTAATGCCAGCCTTCCGAATGTAGTTTTGTTGATGAGCAGATGGGCGCATAATTTAGTACCTACCTTTGTGCACAATGTCCCTAAGTCTTGTAGAGACTTAAGCCTGATAATTTTAGATCCCAAATTGGTGCTACTTTTTGGTCTATTTTTAAATTCTGCCACAGTGTGTCAGCCTGCAAAAGTTGTACTGTATGGCAATAAGGGATTTATTCTAGGATTCCATTTAGCACACAAGTGGCTTTGTGTGTGCTGTTAATTATCTTAAGTAATGCTTCTGTGGTTGCAGGATTGTGGTGGTATAATGTCATTGGCTGATGTATGGTGTAGAGTGAACAGAGCCAGAGGTCTGGAACTGATATCTCCTGAAGATCTGCTAAATGCCTGCAAGTGAGTCCAGCGGTTGATATTGTCAACTTGTAAATATGGCGAAATAATTATTTAAGAAAATTTTTATACATTTGGGGGCAATAATTTGTGACCTAATTAACTTGGGCAATATTTTAAATTTCATGCAAATTTAAGTAACTGCTGTAGCTAATAACTAAAGTTATTTTTGTTGGTCTGAGTTTTCTGTTTAGGGTTTAGTTATTTAACCAAGAGCCTTTATGAGCCCATGAAGATTTATGACTTTTTTTCACAGATTACTACAAACTATTGGTGCACCTATGGCCCTTAGGAAATTTCCGAGTGGAGCATGTGTTTTACAATTGAATACAAACAGAGATGAGGAAATTGCCAAAGTTACTAGTGATATGGTAATCTTTTTTGACACTCACTACTGGTCAAAAAGTAATATTTTCTTTCCAGGGTAACTAAAAGCATATGCTTGCGATAAAACTATGACTGACCAGCTGGACTAGCTAGGCAGGTTCTCGATAAGTGTTCACTGCATAAATAATCAACATATATAAACCTTTGTTCTGTTTTGCAGCCATGTTTAAAGCAGTTAAACATTTATTATAATTCTTCCATTTCTATCTATACATACATATACACATATAGATAGATAAGATCAAACCTCAATACAATTGAAGCATTGGGCTGTAACAAAGGCATTACACAAAAATTGAAAATAAAGTTTTAATGTCTTATATCTTTTTAATATTTATAATATGACTTTTATATATTTTATTATTTATTTGTCCTAAGATTTAGCTAAAAGATTAAGGTGTTATTAGTATTTTAAAACAATTGGAAACATTTGAATATTTTTTTTCCGTCTGTTGTCCGTCCTTGTTGCACCAAACCGGCAAATTAATGGGGTGTTCCTTTTATTATTGTATTTTAAGGAAATAAATTGTGAATCAATCTTGTTTAAAAGTTACATTGGAAAAAATTTAAACAAATTTTGAAATCCTTCATTGAATTCTCTGGATTGAAATGATATCATCTTCTGCAGGTCTCTCATTGGCTTCCTAGATGCTCCACGTTGCGGGTGAATTCGATCGTTTCAGACATTTTTTTACATTAAAATAAATTTTTACTAACTGCCGGTTGTAACATGTCCGAAATTCACACGCACCTTTATAATCTATGCCACAAGGGCGGAGCGCCACCTTCTAAATGAATGAAAACTACGCCATCTAGAAGAGAGATCGAAATGAGTTTCTGTCACAAGATACTACATAGTGTATTACATGTTTTGGGTACCAAACGCCCTAGTTGTTCCTAATGCTTCAATTATGTTTTAATTTAATTGTATTGAATTATGAGAACAAAAAACAAAAATATTTTTGGATGTAGTCCTATTTAAAATAGTAGTTATCTTACTACTACTATCATAAGTAGTAGTAATTATCTTTTCTTTACTAAAAAAAAATTATGATTATCACTAATTTCAGGTTTCTTACCACAGCGCACAGTATTCTTTTTATTTTCCCGATATTCATACCGTGGTGAGGAACCTGAAATTAGTGATAATCATTTAGTGAATAACCACGAAAGCCTTAAAAGCTATATAAAAAATTTATTTAATGATAGAAAATTTTCTTAACTTTTAACTTTCCTTTTTCAGCTTGAAGATAATGGTTTCCTTACACCAGAGAAATTGTCTCAGCTGGCTAACGTATCTGTTCTTCTTGCACGTGAGCGGCTCTACACTACAGAACGTCTCGGGCTCGCGTGTCGAGACGAATCTATAGAGGGCCTAGCTTTCTACCCTAATAGATTTCTAAATGAAGCCTTATAGTATACTGTTGTTTGTTTATTAAGAGTCTATATTGTTTTTAAGCATATTGAATAAATAATATATCCAAATTAAGCACAAATATTTATTGTAATGTTTCTGTATGAAAAGCGAGGCTCACAAAATTTCACAAAAGCATTCCCTAAGTGAGTTATATTACTTAATTTACCATTCTGTATGACAAGAACTGTATGTAAACCATCTCAAAATATCCTTACTTTCTTAGATTACTAGATTGTAATGTGATATTATACATACACCCAAATGAGATGAATAACACAGTACACATGCAATATAATCTTATGCTAAGACATTTCAGTGTAAAAATAAATTAACTGGATTTCTGGTAAATCCAATTATCTCAAATAAACCTTCACGAAACCATTGTTTTATTTCATTTGATCCTATAAAAATAATGCTATGGTATAAAGAAGCTACTTAGACACTTGTCAACAATCACAGATTGAAACATTCAATCATCATCACTTAACATTTGCTTAATAAGTGGAAGTCTTTTGGACTTCTAACCATTACTATTACTGATTACAGTTGACTATACCACATTACACTAAGCATTGCACTTTAATTTTATATAGACATCAATATTAACCAGTACAATCTAATTGGACATTATAATACTGTCTACATAATTGTTTTTTACCACTGTACTAAACAAACTAAGATAATCCTTGTATCTAATACTTCATTTGACGTTTGTTATAGGGATGAGGCAAAGTCACTTGATTTTCAGTGTATTTGATTTTTGAAGCAAAGGTTCTCTCTAGTTATATTTTTCTGATATATTCTGAACAATGTGTATATGTGCGAACTGTTTTGTGTATATTGATGGCGTAAACACACAACTTTAATTCAAATGCAATTTCAATTGATATTTTAGTAAATTTCTAAAAACATTAATGATATCATTAATTTGTCAGTTTCAAAAAGTAATAATGAACTGACAACAACATGACAGTTCATTATTACTTTTTGAAACTGATTGCCTATGACATTGACTTACAAATAAGCCTATGATTAAAATTCATACTATAAGAATGAATACACATACTATACATTTTTCCATTAAATTATCAAAAACTTTTTGTCAATATACCTCATCTCTAGCAAATGAAGTATAATGAAGTAATCTTTGCATGTGATCATAAAGAGTTACTGAATTATTGAAAAAAAAGTTCGTGCATTTCTTACAAATAAGCATAGATTTGGTATTATTTTTACTTCAATTTAATGTATTTACGTAACAAAAGCTATTCATTTGAAAGCAAGGCTTATGAAAATAATAAACATTGTTACAAGGTGACATCTTGTAGTTTTTATGAACTGTCACAGAGATCATCCTAGATTATTTTTAGTTTAGACTAGACGTGAATTATCAAAGTTGAAGCAGATAACCATATATCTATTAACAGGAAAATTTCCTTATGCTATGTGGAATGAGTCAAATTTAGTAGTCAATGGCGCTTTTGAATTCCTTTGGTGGTTGATTGAGTTTGCCTCCAAGCTCCCAAGCTTTAAAATCATCGCAGGAACGGATGTTTTCAATATAGCACTCCACTCCTCGGACAAATGGTAACATCATTTGATCATTAATTATTTCAGAGAGACGGTGCAAAAATGCAATGTTTTTTGCAAGTATTTCTTTGATTTTCAAGGAGAGTGGACGTTCAGTGCTTTGCACAATATCCAGCTGAAACAAAATCAACAATTCAATTGAGCTTACACACTTTAGTGTTAGTAGTGTAATAGTTCCCGTGCCACCTAAAATTATAAATTATTGTATGGACACAACAAATAGTCTCAATATATGGAGAAAATAAAGCCAAAATGTGTATTTACAACACATTTTCTTTTCATTATGGATGATATCACATGTATGATAATTTATTCAAGCCTCATTTACTGTTACATGATATAAGCATTTGACCCCTTCTTTTCCAAAGGATTTTATGAAAATCAAAAAATACACATCGCAAACTGATTATGTCATGATACAGTCAAGAAATCCTGTGTACACACAAACTTCAGGCAAGATTACTTTGCAACACCCTGAAAGTTTTTCAAAGACATATTGTCTGTTTTGTAGAGTAAGCGACATTGCATAGATTTTTCAAAAAATAAAATTTTTTCAGGTTTTAATGTTTGTTTTAAAATACGTATGTTTTAAATTTCAATTTTAAAACTTATTTAGAATTAAAGCAGAATTTTAAAACAGGACATAAATATTTCAAAACAGTCGGCAAAACCTAAAACATACAACGCTGAAAAATCTACATAATGTTGATTATGCCCTTTCTTCAAAACATTGACAATATACAGATGCAGTTGTAATTTTCTATTTGTATAGCTCACCTTCTCTTCAATAAAATTATCCTGAATACCAAGATAATACTTTAAACATTCGGAAAGGGACCTGACTGCAGTAGGGAAAATACCAGTTTTGTTTTTTGTGATTATTATGTCCCCAACCTGAAATAAACAAATTAATTAACACACAACACACCGTACTAAATTACTTTTAATGACAACAAACATTTACCTGAGTGTCAAATACAGAATTCAGCTGAACATTGTGTTTGTGATACAAACAATCTGATATTTTCCTGCAATCATGGACAATTTTCTTTGGTGAATCACTCTCAAGTAGCTTCTTCAAGCCTGCATCAAATGCATGAAACTGCATCACTTGAATGTCAAAAATGTATATGTTGTTTGGAGTGGACAAAACCAAGAACGGCATCTTGCATTTCCTGCCCATATTAGCACCATCAGTACTCATTGCCACAAACTCATACAGATTTAAATCATTCAATGCGTTGTGGAAACTGCTATCAATTTGATTTACAAAGACAAATTTTCTGGATACAGTTATAATGTCTTCAACATCTTTAGCGCTGATTCTCAATTGTTTACCCTTTTCAGGGTCAGGCAATTTCACAATGGTGCGAATTTCAGAATCATAAAAATGCAATACTGATTCACTCTTCTTGTCTTCTGACGACTCTTTAACGTTGTAAAGAGATATTTTAGATTTGTCGCTGTTAGTACTAAAGAAGCGACCTTCAATAATTTCAGAATTCTTTGTATGGAGTTGCAACAACTCCCCTTTCATGTATGCTTTGTCCATTTTGATTCTTACAAGTACAATGTTTAAGTAGGATGTCAATTAATCTTTCTTGACAGGTTTAGCAGGTGCTTTCTCCGCTTCGTGGTACGCTCGATAGATGTACAGGGCTAACGTGACATGAAGAACGATTACAGCAACCACTGCCGAATAAACACTGCTGTTCATCGGCTCCAGGCGGAGCAATCCATCGAATAATAGACTCTTCGCCAGGAAAAATGACGACACAGGCACAATTATGATGAATAAACAGTATTTTACTACTGTTTGAAAAATTTGAAAATCGGGTAGATCCTGGAAAGAAAATAGATTAGTCGATAAGTACGACCACAAGTAAGTAGCAGTAAAATGAACTTAGTATCACTTACATTAGCGCGGCCTTCAATCATTATAAGTTAAAATACAAATTAAAATAAAATAAAGACAGAAAAATTGCAGAAAACAATTTAACACTCGGCTTCATCAATCAATCAATCACATGAAAGAACGAATAACGAAAGAACAACTTTTCGTGTTTTGAGTATTTTTGAGTGAATGAATGACAGCACTTAAATTCGGATCCACTTTGAAACGGCAACGAGATAGATAAATACCTGCAATGGATGCAACAATTTTACGGTTTGTGGCTATGGAAAGTGATAATAGATTCTCAATTCATATAATGTGTAATGATGCAACGGCTGCAAAAAAGATAGTTAACACGTATTACGAAACCATGATTTTCATTTTAAGTCATGTGCTCTGATAAGTAATATGTAACGCCAAACGTTCCGTGTCATTCTGATTCTACAATGAAAAAAATACAGTACGTTGTTTTGTTAGCTTTCACAGTAAGTTCATAAATACAAATTAATAATAATAAAAAAACTGAAAGTACAGTTTTTAATAATAGAATCCAATAATTTAAGCTAGTGTAATTTAAATTAATAACTTATTTACATTCTTAATTTGTAATTTAACTTATTTAAGGGAATTTTATTTTTCCCACAGATCGAGATAAATGGATTTGTAGATTTAAATGAAATTCATAAAATCTTGCAATGGAAGACTCAAAATGTACTAAATTTTAGCGAGGTCAGGAACTCAAAAAAATAATTAAAATATCATAGATTTTTTAAAGCTATTACCAGTCTAAATATTTCACAGATTGGTGCGTTATCCAACGGCGTGTTCGATTTTAGTGATTTAAAAAATAAATTAATTCAATGGAAAACTCAAAAGTTACAATCCATTTGTCCATCTAACGGGTAAGTTTATTAGATTTATAGGTTATCAACGTATTGGCTTGTTATATATATATATATATATATATTGTTATAGTAAACAACAAGTAAATAATGATTATTATTAACATGAATATTTGAATATTTACGTGTTATTTCATAGCCGTCCTTATTTATAGAGTGCAGTTGCAGAATTTATTAAGCCTCGTATGTAGTACAGCTCAGCCCACAAATGTTACGTTGAGAGATTCTTGCATTTCTTGTTTCCAAAGAGTTACTTCTATGCAAGAGGTAAGGTTCACTTTTACACTTACATCTATAATCTATTTAAGTGTCTACTATAAATAATAATATAAAAACATTTTCTGTTTTAATTTCAGGGCCCTCAAGAACTAAATGCTCTGAGTGCATGTGCTTTGCAATATTTTACAAACACAACTTATGCGACTTGCGCTACATCGCTAGTGGTAAGTGTTCCCTATTCTAATTGGTATCGATTTTCGACCGCACGTTCATAAATATGTAATAACTGCTGGTGCATTCTCTTTGATTCAGGCATTATCTACTTCTGCATTAAATGTCCAACCATCAGGCTGTTTTATGGGATACTGTGATTTTGTTAGGTGTCTTAGACGTGTAAACTCTATGAACCTGGTAAGTTTATAATAAAAATTTTAATTTTGAACAACAAATTAGCTGGCTATGTAGCATTCGTACTTTCATGGATATATTATATTTTACTCTATGTTGCATATAATAAAGCCTATTTAGGGTGCACGTTATTATGACACGTACAAAGTAGGATTAATTGATGTATTACACACACACACACGCAAATAAAAACAATTACGATTACAAAGCAGTAAGATAAATTGACAAAATTCTTTGTAGAAAATTGTAACTTATGTCGTTTATAAAAAGCGGCTGTTTGGGTAGCTTAATCTCGAGGTGAGTGTACATGGCAATTAAAAATGTTTATATAGAACATTGCCTTACAAATAAATGGACGACGGGTCTAATACAAAAACCACGAAAAAAATGTCCCAAGTCAACCTATTCGAAATTTAAATTGTAATGTCATCGCAGTATCGCGCTGTCAGTCGAACAAATGAAGACTAAAGCGGAGTTTGGCGCTCTGTATACGATTTTAGCGCCTTACAAGTGCGGACACTTTTTAGCGCGGACCCGACGTCCATATAATTGTAAGTCAATGATATAGAAAGATACTTTTATCACAGTCTAACCACTGTTTTTAACACTGTGTATTTAGTATGTTCATAATCTATGACTGTGGATATTACTTATCTACATATTATTTTATTTTTTAATGTTTAAATTTTTTCAGATCACACAATGCACAAGAGAAGCAAGAACCGGCATAAACATAACTTTGGATGCAGACAATGTACGTTTCTATACCAATGTTACATCATGTCTACTAGCAAAATCACGATGTAGTTCATTCAATCCTATAACAGGGGATCCTCAAACTCCAGGTTACACATCAGCTGGAGTGAGAGTTAGCAATGCTCTTCAGTTTTCAGCAGCAGGTGAACTTAGAATTCTTGCATTTTCAGCTGCTACACCTGTTTCAATTTCGTTTTGCTCAACGCCTTCTAATTTGACGCAAACGAGTTGGCTTACCAATATATGTTAATATTAGACAAAAAATTAATTACATTTTAAAATTACTCAAACATACAATTCTTTTATTTTTTTAGCATTGACTGGCTCCTTGATTGGGTAGGTACTTTCCATTTATTGGGTGGAAAAAAATAAAAGGAACTTTCATGACATTGACATTCCGTTTTTTCTAACACCTTTATAACACCTAGATCTTGAGGATGGAAAAAATAAAAGTTTAAGCAATTAGATACACTTCTCCAGGATGGAAAAGACTTCTTAAGCCACATGTTAAGCTGTACAAACTATTGTTTCTTAAATATACGAGTAGTATGATTGTTATGTAAATTACGTAATATACCACTTATTGTGACAAAAACGTAATAATATTCGTGGGTTCGCGGAGCAGCAAATTAATTTCAAAATTTTTTAATGAGGTTGGCTTTGAGCCAGGCAGAAGAAAAAATACAATTATTTATATCATATATATTTTAAAAGAATTCTTACATCGGTATCCGAACTAAGGAATGAATGATTTTAAGAAGTTTAATGTGTCAAAAGGTCAAGGTTATGTTACAATTGTCATTTTCACGTATTCCAAGAACTCGGTGCTGTCAATGATAGTTAAAATTTGCAGAAGGTTTATGAATAAATTCTGAAAGAAGTAGTGATAATCAGGCCATTATCAACATACAATTCTTCAGTACGAAGCGAGTAAAAAGTTGCGTAAGTATTAAAGATCTTTATTTTTGTTTATTTACTCTCTGTATTGTGACTTAAATCTTTCGCGATCGCGCTTGCTATTTTTCTATTATCTCAACTTTTTAGGTCATACAATGAGTTGTTTAAACTAAAGATTAGATTGTAGTGTTACTATTTCCTTCTTGTGATCGATAAATGCAGATATGAACGTTGAATGGGGTAATTTCATTATTTGAATTTGAAAGGACACGAAAGTCGTTCGTTAAAGAAGAAACCTTTATATCTTTATTCAAATAATATAATAAAACTTGTCACTAATTGCTTCTTTAAATCTTTGACACTAATGTTTTGAGATATCCAGCTGCCAAACTTATGTGGGACGGTAAAAGAATTATAGTCTCATTAAAACTTAATTTGACTGAGAAAACCGCAATGAACTGAAATTTTAGTAGATATTTCACAAAAGGAAACAAATTTCTTGTATTATGTTTTAGAGTAATGATTTTAGATAGAATCCTTTTTTTAAAATTTTAACAAGGCTTTGAACATTGTACTACATGGTGTTTATGCCTCATAGGGAATTTCAAATTGCAAGATCAGTTAGGGGCATGTAAGTTATAAAAAAAATCATTAGCTTTTTGTTAAAATGTTTATTTTTATGAAAACTAAACTAGAAATCTTATTACAAAGTTGTAAATTCATACTAATTTGTTACAACTTTCTATACAGAAAAACTGTGAAGTTTATAAGAAAAGTCCTTAATTTATTGAGCAGTAAAGTCAGTTATTATTATTATAAGGGAGAATGGGCAAAATGGATCTGGGTGCAGGCACTTCAAAACTACTTTCAATCAACATACATCACTATTGTGATCAAAAAATATTATGGGCACCAACATGTAAGTCATTAAGTTTCCGAAATATGTGAAATAATATATATTTTTAAAACTTGGTACTTAATGTACAAACTTCTGCCTGTTTCTTGAGTTATATATACCGTTGGAATCTGAAACATGAGCTGATTCCAATTGTATTAACTCAATATGACCAAAAATGTCGCTTATCCCATTTTTCCTTTCAAGGGTCAATATGTGTATTATTTTAACTTGTAGTCTAATGATATTCTCAAATTGTATATACACCCCTGAGTGAGTGAGAAGGCTTAATAAACCTTTACAAACGGTATAAATTTCCACTGAGAGCTTGAAACTCAATTTTATATAATTACAGTGAGCAATACTTCAGATCTTTCCCTTGATCTCTGAGACAGCCTTAGTTAATTTACCTTTTATGGATTTGGTTTTCTTTTTTACCTTTTTTGTAGATTGAACAGAATCATCAGAGTCAGAATTGTCTGAAATCATTGTATTTGTTTTAGTATTTGTCTTCTTTGTCTGTACAGCAGTAGTTACAAATGCTGTTTTTCTAAAGCGAGACTTTGACTGTCTATTTGTGACTGGACTCGCTTTTTGGGATGGCTGTGTGTTCCGAGGAATATCTGTAAAGCTTGTATTGCTCATGTATGGGGAGTTCTCTGACTTTGTGTGCTTCAACCTGAAATAAGTTTTTTATTAAGAGTAATATGTTAGTTTCACTTTTGAAATGTCTTTACAATTTTAATTGAATTTTTAAGTATGTACTCACTTTCCCTTCTTCTTCCAGGTTTTAGGAAATTTACTAATTGGTTCTAAAATGTCATCCATTGAATTTGGCAATTTTAGAGATAGTTTTTTACTCTTAGTTTTTTTCTTTTTCTTCTCTTCCTTCAACTTCTTACGCTCTCCTTCTAATTCTTCTAATTTCTTTGAGCAAGATCTGATCAATGAATTTCACACAGTAAATAGAAATATTTACATTGACATAGATACTTTTTAGTGTTTTTACTGAGATGTATATCATAATGTATATTCATGCATTTGACAGCTAAAATTTACTAAACATGAGTAATAACCAAAACATTTTACCTCAGCAAGGCTTCACTGTCAGTAAAGTAAGAATTCATAGCAAAGCTTGAAATTCCCCAAGACAGTGGTCCCTTGTCATCACTCTGAACACCAGTCCACACGTTTCTTTTGATAGATGTTAGTTTAACTTGTAGCTCCGATGGCTGGGAGATCCTGTTTTTCATTTCAGCTAAATACCTGTTGATAAAACACGGGTAAATTTCGATTTTTCGATTGTACTTAGTACAGAATATTTGGGCGAAACAGCATTTACGTGGAAGGCATCTTTGGTAGAAAACGGCCTTGAAGAACATTTTCAGAAGAAATTGAGAGTGTTCTTAAAAGGCTCGAGTGCCTAGTGTGAAGAATAAGAAGGTTTGTATGAAAAAATTGATGATACGAGTAGTAAGGGAAGCAAGAGAGGCTTGTCAGAATCGTGCTAAGTGGCGATTCATAGTTTCTGCCTACCCCAATGGGAATGTCGTGAATATCAGAAGAAGAAGATTATTATTTCAAAGTGTACAGTGATAGAAGCAAATATGTATATTTGTACATATGCATATAAATTCTGTTGGGATTGTTATTTGGAGGACAGTTGAAGAGAGAAGTAAATATAAAAATATAAATGTCGTTTTTAAATTGTTGTATTAATAAAACTGTGTATCAATTGTATCTTACTTAGGAGGTGGCAAACACCGAAATTGATGCCACGACGCTGGCTTCAGCTTCGGTTTTTCTATCGGCTGATTTATCATGGAAACACTTCGTGGTCTTCCACATTTTGGCGACTTTTTCTCTCTATCTGAATGATATGGAGAATCGCTGGTCTGAAACATACACATACATTGTAAATAATTTAAAATCTATTTCTAGTACAATGTTCTGATAAGAATAGTTTTCCAGTGTTCTATTGATATGAGAGTGACTTTTATATTACGTAGTCGTACAATCAACTTCTATGTTGTATTTGTCTTATAATTTTTACCGGAGCTCGTATAATCTTTAGTTCAGGTGGCATTTTCTTTCTCCTTCTCGGTTTTGGTTTCGTGGAGGAATGTAAAAGTTTGTGAATTCTTCTCACTGGACTTAGATTTTCTTCACAAGACTCCGCATCGGAAGACGCGTCACTCATTGCATCTGATGTAAGGTCTATGGTTGCACGTGATACCTGAAACCATACCAAATACACAGTTTACATATCAAGTACTTCATTACTGCAAGCATGTGCACCAGAAACGACTTACACATTAGAAATATAGAAATTTCAATGTAAAAGTGCCTCCAGCACACAGTTGCCGCAATGCACATTTTGATCTTAAGAGCTAAATTGTTTGGTCTATAATTTACTTGTAATGTTTGTCGCTTGGTTCTCTTTTTCTCCTTCTCGATCCGTTGAGTATTTTCAATTTTTGGTCGTGGTTTTCGCGGTTTCTGAAAAAAAAAAACATTTCTTATTATTTCTAAAGGTTCAATTCTTATTGCAAGTGACTACGTCTTATATTCTACGATTCCTCACGACCTCACTCATACATCTGTTGATACGAGACCTCACTCATACATCTGTTGATTTCCGGGAAAATTGGTGAAGGTGGTGGCGCTGGTTGCACAACGTTTCTCTCTTCTCGTCTGCCAGCGGCATCTGAGCTACTGCTCGAAGTATCTCCCTCATCACTATCGAGAAAAGAATCTTGTTGTACCATTAAGAAAACCCATACATGGTCATAAAAACAAGCCAACCACATATTTTACCTTGAATAATCAGATAGATCTATGTTAGTCGGCTCGTCAGCATTAGAACCCTCTTTTAAAAGTCTTGCTACAATCTTGTTTCTCAGTCTTTCCTTACTTGGATCATCGTCGTAAAAATCTAACAACGTCTCGCAGAAGGTTTTGCCTAGGCTCTCGTAGTCCTGAACTGCAAAATGAGTGGACATTCTGCTGCCTAATTCAGACCCTCCGAAGGATGCTTCCATTGTGTAGCTGTTTGCAACTCCCATCATCCAAACAACTACACGTCCTGTGCCTTCTTTGCTTTTTTGTATGCGAAATTTGCAGTTTTCGAACGAGAACTGAAAACAACGAATTTTCCGTCAGCAATCTTCCGTACTATTTATAAAATTTGTGAAGTAAACCGATTTTTCACCTTATCAGCAGCATTTTTATGAAGCATCAATGGAAACACTTGTTCCTGTAGCCTTTTGTCTGAATTTCTCCGACTTTCACATCCATATATGAACACATTATGTTTCCGAGAGTGCGCGTGTAAATCCACGTACATTGCTACATCGCACTCTTCCTGCAATCTAATCATACTATATACATAGTGAGTAGAAATAAAAAGTGTTACATTTGTTAATATTATATGTTAATTAGGGGCACCAACCTCCGTAACATTACTTTTGTGTGCCAAACCGGCGGATAGGTTTCCCTTATGACTGTTCGATATTGTCTGTTTAGGTCCTTTCCGGTCAACGAACATCGATTATTACCGACAATTACCTGTAATGATAGTTAAATATTCATTCGTGACAATAAAATCGTGTGACAAAAAATATCTAGTGCATCACTCACGCCATCCGGGTTCAGCATAGGAACTAATTTGAAAATAAACTTTTCACGCAACTCGCGGGCTTGATTTGAATCGCCTGTTAAATAGTCCATGAAACCTTTCATCATCCATGATGATGGCGTCTCTCCTGGATGCACCCTTGCTGATATGACTACTGCCTTCTTTTTCTGCAATACCATACCAATATATATACCTTTATATTGTATCTGTCTTTGAAGACTAAAAAGGGAACGTTCGCTATTTATAAAACTTTTATCAAAATGTTAATTATTTTAATAGTGATGACTACTGATGACACTTACCCTTGGATCTATGTCATTAGGATTTGGAGGAGCAGTGATAGTCAAGTAATATACATTATTACCAGCCAGTGTTCGGCAAAGCAGTCTTAGTTTTGAATATGTAGATTTAATTGGATGAGACTGTAGTCTCGATAAATACTCTTGTAAATCGGAGTAAGTGTAAGGATAACAATGTGCAATATAAACAGCATCATCCGTATGTGGAAACTCTATGTTAAAAGTTAATGTATAACTTGGAAATTGTTCTTCTTCCTCACATCTGAAATTATATTCGGTAGCAGTGAGGTAATGTTCGATTTGGTTTTACTCAAGGCTTCTGTTAACTTACGTAGAATCGTTTTTATAATAAGCGATGTTATCGCCGCACCGTCTCCATCCAATCGAATGCAACTGCGCGTCCTTCGTCGAATACAGTAAAGGTCGCATACCTTCATTATACAAGCTTTCAGCCTTTGTAAGATTTACTATCGAGAATCTGTAATATTTCAGAATCTATACTAACTGTCTACTAACTATAAGGACGAGTGCAAATATCTATATACTGAACTTACCTGTATATCGTCTGTTTTTTCGTATTTGTAACTTTAAAATAGAACCATTGCATGTGTCTGTTCGTATACAAATCGGTGCGTAGATGCAGTTCGTAATAAGCTGGTGTTATTTTTATTGCTTTGGCAAGATTTCCACTTTCGAATCGAGATTCAAATCTTAGCTCGTCTTCACCTCCGGCAGTCGCACAAGCTGACAGGTATAAACGAGAACCACCGACAGTGGAACGACTGAACTGGAAACATCACATTTTGTACAACACAGAATATTGAGCTACATTTATATTCATGTTTATGTTATGTAGTTTGGAAAATGTTAGGTGTACTTACATAATTCACCGCACTCATAGGGTAATATTGATAGATAACTGTTCCAGCTTCTTCGCCAACAGGTTGAGGCCGCAACTCTTTTCCGGTAGAAATGTAATAAGGTTCTGGCGATGCGGGACTCCATGTGATGTGTTGTATTTTTTCTTCTACAACCTTTAGTAACATAAATAGAAATGATCGTGGAGTTTACTGCAAAATGAAACAAAGGGCTTGTGATTTGTAATATAACTAACTTACTTGACACTCTGAGGGCCATCTTGGTGCCTGTTGTGGGCAGTCAAGCTCTCTTGGTAAAGCAAACAAATCCCTTGGCTCTTTTAATTTAGCTACTGTTCTAAAAGTTTTAATATCGGTATTAATTTCCAGCTGCGTAGTCTTGATATTGTTTTGTAGAAAATTTGATATAAATGTACCTGTAATTTTTATGTTTAAATGATTAGAATTGCCTCGCTTCAAGTCGACCTAATTTTATGACCTGACTTTAGAGGAAAGCTTTTGTGTTGAAAGGCATATCTTTCGTGTAATTATGCACATTTCGTGTTTACGATACTTCAATGGGCACGCAAAGACTCTACTGCTGCGATGTAGAAATTCGAATTGTAATCAGATTAATACAAATTGATTTATAAGTATTTAGCGTCGTATTTCTTATTAAATAGTTGTTGGTTAATAAACATTGTTTACTCCGAAAGAGATAAATGTTTTACCTCTATTGCATATGGGGAACAGAGAAGCTTGTAGAGACTTAACTTGTTCTAAATTAGCTATCAAAAGGTTGTCTTGTAGTACGTGGTCTCTCGTGGGGAGTGTAAGGGTTAACGTGGTACTTTCTATGTACTCCTTCTTCCTCTCCTCCTCTCTTTTGATCATAATGACTTTTTCCTGAACTCTCTCCATTTGTTTCCACCATAGCATTTTCGGCAAGTTAATAAGAAGCCACGTACGCTTATAACTTCGTAGACTTATGAAATAGTTAACGCCATGCCATTGTTATCTATTTGACGAAGCTAAATTAATCGTTACCATGGCTACGATAATATTTAGATAGTTAGTCATCAGATACTTCGAGCTTCTATCGTATAGCCTGGCAAGCGGCGCGACGGTCGGAAACAAACTGGCGATGTCGTGTAAGAGCTCGTATTTTCGGATATTGGAAGACGATTGTTGAATAATGTCATGCTTCGTACGTATAAGGCTTACCAGGTGATTGTTGACGTCAACGGTATTCATGCAAACTCGATGAAGAATGGATATTTTGGAACATAAAGCATTTCATTTAGATTATGTCTGCGAACCGAAATATCTGAGGAATACCCCATCTAAGGGCATTATTAAATTTCAGCATGAGTTGCGTAATTTATATAACATAATAGTTCACAAAGAGCGCATAGTCGATTCAATCTATCGGGCATTCAATTTAGCATTTGAACAACTCAATAAAAACACATATCAATATGTAATTAATTTGAATGGTATATATTACACTTTTTGTGAATATATTCATCGTTGCTTGACGACGACTTTTAAGTGTTAACTTTTTAAAATATTGCTTTTATTGTACTTACCGTCGCTTTGAGATTGAAAACTTTCTTTTTCATCTTCCAATTCAGTTTCCAAACTTTTGTCATCCATTGCAAGAAAAACTTTCTTTAACCTCGTTCCAAAAACCTACGTCGTGAATTTTTTACACGATGCCATCGCTGACACTGAAAGTTATGTAATCTGTCCTAGCTCGAAGCCTGTGCCTTTATGTTTAAGGTTCAGCTAGACTGCTTATTTTTAGTTAGGGATATGATATTAGCTATATGTTGTGAAGTCATTTATCTTTGTCTATCATATACAGTGCCTACCTGAAAAGGTTTTCAGTACGTTTATCATACACCGGCCTCTGTCTAGCCTTAGCCGTCGTCGTACAAATTGATGTGTCATCAAGAAATATTTCTAATTACTATTTAAATATTATCATCAAAATATGTAGTTCTAAAACGGACTCACGAGTTCATAAATCAAAACATATTGTAGTTTTGCTAATTTTAGAAATTACTTTCTTTAAAGTAAGGAATATTTGTGCATGTGATTATATACCGCGTCTGCTTAATTCACTGAACGTAGAAACTTTACACTTTCCGGTAATACTATTATTCACTATTTTTTCCTGTTACCTTAACATTGATAACACGTTTCCCTGTAAGGCTGAAAGGTGACTGCACTTCCACGTAGTAAAACTTGCGGTTGTGTGGAGCAAAAACTTCGCTAGTTAGGAACTCATAAACTTTAATCTGCTCATAGAGCTAGGAATAAAGACTCGCGATAAGGTGAACGATAAACATCAACCTCATTTAGTGGAAGAATTTATTTTCATGAAATACGTAGCCTGCAAAAAACCTTGATAATATAAATTAACGAATTCGGCGGATATGGAGGTTTCAGTCTATTTTTAGAAAGTAGTTTTCTTGAAATATAAATGCAGTAGTTCTTTGTCATGTTTATTAGGTTGCGGCAAAGTATTTTTAGATATCATACTCAATATGTTTCCCTCATTTCAGTCCCTATCTAATTCTACTGACAAGGCCTATAACATAACATGGAATACGACTTTTGATCTCTAATCATTGTTATTGTTACCTGTACTACACAATACCATAAAGATACTATATAGAAATCGTCATGTCGGTGAAGGTATAGAATAATAATAATATATAATATAATAGTAATAACGCACGTACTCATAGCCCCGCACTAGGGAAACTCCGCCATGGACACACATAGACAACTACAAATTACACACAAACTCACGAGAAATAAATGTAGGCCATAAAAAATTATTTCCGCCGGCCTGGAAATCGAACCCGGGATGTCTGCGTGGCAGCCCAGCATGGTAACCATTCGGCCACGAAGCCAGTTCATTATTATAGTACTAGACCAGCGTAGAAAATAATGTCTTAACACTCTCGAGTACAAAAACCTCGTTTTCAGTAGTGAGATGAGTTGGTATAGTAGAACGTACCGAGGCGTCTCTCAACGAATAAAATGAGATTAAAATAAAATTATATTAAGTAATTATATTAATTTGTAACCTAACTATATAAATTTGAAAGTGTAATCCTTATATGTAACATAACCCGCTTGTTACTTATTGTTGTTACTACTAGCTTGTTGTGGTAGCCTGTACGTGCGATGTGTATAATGCTTTTTTATTTTGATTGTACCTTTTTAGCTATACTCTGTATGTGTATTGTGTTGGCTATCCGTTCTAAATAAATAAAATAAAACGTTGTCTCAAATTCAAATCAAATTCAGGTATCTCTATTACGTTTTTACTCTACCTTACATCGATCATAGAAAATTACACTAATACATTTGCGTTACACAAAGTGAGAAATTAAAATTGCTAACTTGCATGGAAATGACTGTCCATCAATAACAATTGTCGTCAGCTAGTCGTTTCATGTCATTTGCCTTCATCGAATATTTATATTCAAATAAAACCGCGATTTGCTATCCACGTTTTATAGATTTTAAATACCTAGCTTTTATTTAGGTATATTGCTTTACAAATTGGGGCAGGGAAACGCTATGCTAATTTAACTAAAATTGTAGGTGAAAGATATATTTAGTTATTACTATACTCCATATGTTTTTGCTTTTCTATATATTTTTTTTTCAAGTGACGGGACGAATAAGTCGTGTGTCTGACGGTGAGCTACACGCCTGTCCAGTTACAAATTTATGTAGATATTTTTAATTTTAATAGGGTAATGAAATATTATAAAAAAACCTTGGTACCTAGGCACTTTTGATGTGTGTATCGATACTTTATACAGAGTGGATCGATACTTTTGAAGATCATGCATAATATAAAAGTAACTAAACTTTTCACCAACCAAAGACGATCATTAATTGTGTTATGCAAGAAAATTATGTTTTACGCTCTTTCAAAATCATCTTGTTTTTAAATAGGCCTACCTATTTAATACACTTTTTTTAATAATATCTAGTGACGGCACGAACAAGTCGTGCGCCTGATGGTAAGCTACACGTCTGTCCATAACAGTTGCAGTGCCACTCAGAGCACAGATCTGAGGGGCACAGCCACTGCTCCCGTTACCCTGAGACATAAGTTGACAAGTCCCACGTGTCTATAATTTCACCAGCATATTTCATATCATATCAATAATAGTTAACAATAACTTCTAACAATAACATCTATTTGCCAAGTTTTATTCAAAAAGGTTAACGGAAAGTGGATGAAATGTAATAAATCGGATTTTTCCTTTAATTTACCAACCTTAGAGGTGGAATATTTTTTTCAAATTTGAATAGGACCACTACTGGACTAAGGGAGTATCTCTTCCTTTGTAATAAAACGTAATCATCGAAATCTATTCACAAATATCAGAGTAATCTTGTAACATACACACGAAACAACAAAATAATATAGAGCATTGTTTCCCAAACATTGTTCTGCCATGGCCTAGTAATTTTCATACTGCTTCTTCGTGACCCACTCAAAACTTTTAAACCCAAGCTGGTACATTAAGTAAAATGATGCACATTTATTGTTGGTAAAAATGTTTTACTAATATTATTTCGGTATCGCCTATTTAGGGCGAAGTATGGAGCTGCTGCTTATTAAAGAATCTTTTACTTTTTTAAGCTTTTACTAAAGAATCCAAATTCGTGGAAAATGAAGAAAGTTTTATCCTGAGATCTGGTTCCACAAGGCGGGGATGTTGCGACCCGGTATTTTATTTTGATGACTCGGTACCGGGTTGCGAACCACCAAATGGGAAACGCTGATATAGAGAGCATTCTTTTTATCGTATTAACGGGTTGCATACTGTGATGTTTGTTATCGCGGTCAAAGGATTTGCCAATGGGCGTAACGAGCTCGCTGATTGTTGCCCTGGGTGCATTAGACGTACAAGAAAAGAATGGTAAAATACTAATAACCTCTTACGACTGTATTTCTAACATCATATCATAATCGACAACTTTTGTTCCTTGAGTTATTAAATAATTCTTCTTCAGATTTTACTTCCTTGGAAAAACGAAAATATTCAAATAGATCATTCTAAACGCTGACTCTTAACTCTGACAGATAGTCGTGCGGTTTAATGTGTCGTGGGGTTTATGTTTGAATGAAGTTGTTTATACATAGAACAACACGATTAACTGTCGTTCACGACTTTTTTGACGTTACGACGACAGACTGTCGTGACAATAGGAAGAGCTGAGAGCAGAGAGAACAACAGCCATCCGACGGTAAATAAAACGTTACGATAAAAATGTGACGACACGTAATCGCAGCTTCAAACGATTGCATGCGACGTGCAAACAACAAGACAGCTGGCCCGTGAACAACGAACAACTAAATTGTCGTGACGATCTAGTGGGAAAAGCTAGACACGACAGTCGTTCAAAGATAAAATAAATGTCCACGACACAGTCACGGCTGATATTCGTGATATAGAAACGTGCTTGACGCGACAGTCGTCCAATGCTAAATAAAACGTTACAACATAATGGGAACGCGCCTTTACACGTTTGAACTTACTAGTAGTAAGGTTACTACCAATGTAATAAAAAATGTGAGATAGTAAAAAAAACTTAAAAGTTTTTATTTGGTACATTTATCATGTTTTGTCAAGTTACGGAACAAAAGTTGTGTTTATGAAGTTGTAACGTCGACGATGGCGGGATGACTTATTCTTCTTTTTTAAAGGGTTGACCAGCATATATATGTATATATAG